GAAGCTAACAAAGAAAGTATCATCCTTTTCTAAAAATGTAACTCCATTTTAAAAACACAACTGAATATTAAACCTAAAACTGATATATGAGAGAATACCCAAAATTGTTATCATATAAAAAGAGAAAGTCCAAAGGCTATAGCGGAAAAAAATCCGAAACACTTTTGGGAAATAAAAAAAGATTTATTATTTAGTTATCTTAGTAGTCATAACAAATTAGATTATCTAAGGTTTTGAGGGATTAAAAGCATTATAATTTTTTAAATTAATCAAGTTTTGATTAAAGAACTGGTTCTTGGTCGTAGAAAAAATAGGGTATGCAACTCTTATGTAATGGCTATTAATACATGATCGTTGTATAATATACTATTATTAGGATATACCCTAAGTATTGTGGGGCAACCCACCCTCCCTCAGATTAAAGATACAAAAAATATCCCGAAGTAACAGCTAATTTAAAACACCCTGTATTTGACTTATATATTATACTTTATTTATATTACCTTTCAACATCTTGAGGAAATCTGTAAAATGAATGTGCACCGATATAAGATTACTTTTTTGTCTTCTTCCATAACTCACACTGTCATTAAAGCACAACAAAATCAGAAAATAGTTAACGCTAAAAATATTTAAGCAAAATAACAGAAACAACAGAATAATAATAATTATAAATTCACGATTTCGATACCACCACCCGTGCTGGTCACTACTGCACTGAAAGTTTCTGTGTAGAATATCGGTGTAGGTGTGCTTGAAGGTCACGAGCCCTCGAAGATCACGTTATCGGAGATATCCTTCTTGTTATTATTTATTCTTGTGGTTCTACTCTAACGCAAAGTTTCCTGACTTTCAAGATATACTATACAGGGTGCGCCACGCTCAACGCGACATATCCTGGAGGACAAAATACAATTTAAAAAATTCCTTTAACAAAAATATATAAGTTAATAATGGCTATAATTTTAAATTAGTCTCATATATGCAGCGTGTCCCAAATTAGAATACTAATATAAAATTATATTTCTTTAAATAGGACACTCTGTATTTAATATACCCTTTATATGTTAATGTGTCCCAAACAAGTACAATATCATATTAACAAAAATATATACTTCTGATATCACATACAGGGAGAGTAAAAAGTTATATGAAGTTGAAATAAACAAAAATTCCCATTGTTTTCAAATTAATTGGCCATGATAACTTATGGAGCGGTTGTTTGTTGGCCAAAAGTAAACCAGAAAACAAGCTCTTAATACCCTCTCAGGAGTACAAAGGCTGGCATGCTTTTGATCCTTCCTCCATGCTGAAACTATTTACTTTGCTCCATATAAAAAAAATTGTAGTTAAGTCGTTGAATTTATACAGTATTCACACCCTGTATTCAATTTGTTTGTATCTTAGTAATAGATTATTATAAAAAAAAAAAATATTGTCACATGGAATTTGGCTATCATTAAAAAATCAAAATATTAAACCTATTTGGAGGTTAAATTCCAGATACAGTCCAAAAGGGAGATATCCCAAACAGATTTTTTTTGTTTTTTTCCATTTTAACCTAAAACCTAAGATGTTTATGATTAATATTCCGGTAAATGTTAGAAATAAACACAGATCTGCAATACGAACATGATGAAATTTTGTTAAAGCACGTTTTAATAAAAGTACTATAGAAAAAACATTATGAAATTAGTATGAGACTTTGCAGTGAACTTTAAATAAAAGTTTCCTTTGGTTAAATCCGCCTTTAGGGTTCGATTATGAAATTGGCCCTTAGGTATATGTACATACTTATAATGCTTTTACAGCAAAGTTATTATTAAAAAATGTAATTAAATTTCCACAACAAAGTAAAACTTTAACCTTTGTGGAAAAAACATGTGAAAAAAGAAAAAGTTATAAGCAGCTGAAATTGTTTGTTCGGCAGTTTAAAGTTAATATTTTTTATCTCCATCTCCGTTTTAATTACAAAACTAATTAAAGTTCTTCTAGATCGTATAAAACTTTTACTTTTATAATATAATTATGTAAAACATGCCTTTTACACAGCATTTACATTCTATTTCATTTATATACAGTGTGAAGTGTGAACCAATAGAATGGAAAACGTAAATAATATTTACCTTGTGTTACAAAAAAAAAGTATTTTAGAAATATTTTCTTAGTATGATTGATCACTAAAAATTTTTATTTATTTATTTATATTAATATTCGGCTTAATACAATTAGTAGGGATACAAAAAGAAGAATTAAAAATTAAAAATTAAAAATTACAATGGTGTTACAGTAAAAAGTTTTATTTCACATCCATATTAATTTTAATAAACCAAATATTAATATATGTAAAACAAAAAAATGTGGTTTGTATAAATTTTAAATTATTTGTTGTCCCTTAATGTTTTTAAAAATCTATATACTTTTTATCTGTCTTTGTCGATCATGGCCTACTTTAGAAATAATTTTTGTGGATCACTTTAATTTTCCTTTCTATACTTGCACCGCTTTTGAGAATGTTTTATTTTTTTAGAATGCTTGTTTTATTTAAATATAACTAAAACGTGTTGCGTTTGCTTACTTTAAATATAAAATAAATAACAAGAAATTTGCAAAGCCATGTGTCAAATGGCTTTGAAAGTTTATTTATTTTACGTCTCGGTCACATTGAAGTATTATTATTTATTAATAGGTATTTTCCTTTTTTACTTTCCTATCTGTATACAGATAAGGAAAGTATAGGAATTATGATTTTTTCGACTCGAGTTTTCGACGAATTTTTACGTTTTGGGGTCCCCTGAATCCGTTTTGACTATTTTCACGATGATGTTTGTGTGTGTTTGTGTCTGTACTCATGAACGGATACAAAGAAAAACACCAAATTTTTAACTTTAGCTTTATTTCGGCCTGTGGTGAACTGACTAAATTTTAGGCAGTCAGAATATCTGGGGGTTACTTATTTATAGGGGGTCATTTTTATATTTTATGGAATATATCTGTTATTTACGTTTGGAGAAGAAAATTCTTTAAATAAAAGTTACTTCTTATATTATTCTCTATAATTTTTGTTGTATAGAAAATTTTCCTAAAATGGTCCGTATTCAATAAATTTTACAAAATGTAAAAAAATTCAAATTTTTATGCAAATTGTTCAAATATAAGTTGTTTGTGATATAATTATCTATAATTCTTATTCCATTCATAATTTCTCTAAAATGGACCGTATTTGAGATATTTGGGAAAAAGTGTAAATCTCGAATTTTGAAGAAAACTCAAAAACGGATAAAGAGAAATACACCAAATTTTAAACTTAATCTTTATTCAGGCTTGTTATGAACTGATTAGATTTTGGGCAGAGTCACCACATCTAAGGGGTACTTTATAGGGGGTCGTTTTTATTTTTTTGAAATACAGGGTGTCCCGAAATCGAACGGTCATATTTTAATAGCGTAATCTACATCCTAAAATAGGAATAAAAGTTCAAATAAACATAGGTCCGAAAACGTTTCGTTTTCGAGATACAGGGTGTTACAAGTGAAGTCCTGATGGCACATTTTTTGTAAAGAATTAAGAGTTGTTTTAATGTCAAATAGGATTTGTATATTATTATTAAGTTTCTATTGTTTCTAATTTTTCGTGTATTTTGTAATTTGTTTCGAAATGATTTTGTCTCAGACTATTCAGATAATTATGTCAAAAACACTCAAAATTTAGAACCAATAAAAATTGTCTACTAATTTTCAAGGTCTCGTTATATATTACCCTTTATAATTCAAGGCTATGTATCTTACAGCTTTTTATTTCATAGTTTTTTATTAAAAATATATATTTTTCGTTTTCCATTCGGACTTTGATTGATTTCATTCATTAAATAATAATACATACAAATAATTTAATAGTAAGTATTAAAATAGTAAATAAACAATAATACAAAACAATTAAAAAATATAACAATTCACTCCGAAGAGCCAAATGGCTGCTATCATTTATTTAGTTATTAAAATCATCCATTTCATTTAATGAACATAGTAAGAATTTTCTTTTGTTTGTGATTGTAACTTTAATAAGTGTTTAATTATTATGAACCAAATGACACAAATTAATTGGTTTTCTAGGTTATCAGTACAGCATTTACGTCAATGTCACTGCAATTTTGGTATAGATGTAGAAAGAATATAAATACGAAAACTTTCGTTTCTTGGGTAGGTTATTTTTTGGTAAGAGTTTTAAAACGTTTTTCTTGATTTTCTCAAAATAATCAAATAAGTTAGTTGGTTGTTGGTTCTATATTGTATTGCGAGTTTCAGTTATTACGTTTTGCGTTTTTTATTGTATTATTAGAGTACATCAGTGTTTCTCAAACTTTTTGGTGACGGAACCTTTTTGAAAAGCGAAATATTGACTTCTAAACAAAAATAAAAGGTCCTCAAGCCAGGTCCCTCCCTTTTGTGGCGATAGTACTGCTTTTATTTTTATTATGACTATTATTTCTTCGCAGAGCCCCCACAAAGGCTTTGCGGAACCCCAGGGTTCCGCGGACCACACTTTGAGTATCACTGGAGTACATTAACAACCAAAACATAAATGATTTTTTTATCTAATTAGTAGTTTTTATTTTGTTTATTAATATTCATTAGAAAATATTTTACAGTAACTTTAGTGGGTATTTAGCTGGAGTTTGTTTTTCAATGCCGTCGATGAAAAATTTCAAATGTGGTTATAAATCAATGCAAAGCGTAACTATTATATATTAAAATAATATGTTATTTTTCTTTTTTCTTTTGTAACAAACGTATATTTTAATTATTAAAGTTACTACAGACCTAAATATTATTCTGACTAATAATTCCCAAAGAACCCGCGAATGATAAAATGAACAGAGGTATTCATTTAACGCATAATAATTCATACTTTTACAATCACCGAAATTGAGTATAATTTGATAACGATTGGGGATTGTAATTTATACAACCTATTCAAATTTTATAAACATGTTAACTAACCTTCTGTAACTGTTGATTAGCTTCTGACGTTGACAATTGTTCCGAACTTCCTCTCAACAACTGTTCCAACAACTCACTGCTCACTTCCGTGTTAGCGAATCCTTCTAACTTTGATGGACTGGAAGTAGTTCTTTGATGATTAACAACATATTTTGTATCGATCTCATTCGGAACTATCAAATTGTCGGCACTAACTTTCCGTTTATTCACTTGTTTGGGCGATATTGAATTAGAAACTTTATCTTTAATATTGGTTTCATCTAATGAACAATTTCCCGAACCCCTTGTCCTATTATGTTTAGATTTAGATAAATTATTTAAAGAAGTACATGGCACCGTTGATAAATCTTCTAAAAATTTCAAATCACTATTTAGATTCTTCCTACATTCCGGTTTCTTCATTTCGGCTTCTAGCATTTGACCGTATGGACCTCTCAACGGACGTTTGGAATATCTCCTAGGCACACTAGGGCTGGTAGAATCCGTATTTAAACTTAACCTACTCTCGTTGTCTGATAGATCTGAAGGCACTAAAGAAATTTGATCTGATTTACTTAAATCCGGTTCTCCTTCTGAAAGGGAATCAGACCGAAATAGATTTATACTTCGTGGTGTCACTTTTAAACACTCTTTTTCGTCTGGTGATTGTGATAACAGCCTTGATCTCGATACACTGGGCCACTCTGGAGGAGTGTTATTGTCTTCTGGACTCAATGGTTCCTCTTGGGGACTACTCCATATTGAAAACTCTCTATTTTTATCGTCAGAATTACTTAATTTGCTTATTTCTACTAAAGATTCTTGGATAAATTTTGAGGTTGAGTCGGCACAGGGGAAGTCACCGTCTTGAACGAATTGAGGAATAACGTCTTCTGTAGATTGATATGTATTAGGCCATTGTGATAAATATATACCTTTTCGTCGTCTTGATTTATCCCGTCTTTTATCCTGGTTGGTTGAATTTTCTTGGGATCTTGTAGTTGGTTTTTCTGGAGAGCCAGGAGTGACTTCCACTTCGGGAACTCGTGGAGATTCTGTTAGTATATTTAAGGTTTTTATGTCTTCTGAAGTGCAGTCTATGTTGAATACTGGTAGTTCTTGTTTCGTTGGAGTTGTGGGTCTCGATGCATTCTTTGGTCTTGGCAGTGTGGATACTTCTTTTACTGTTGAAATTTCGCTTTCTTGTTCTTGATGAGTGGACGGTCTTCTTCTGATGTATTTATTATCGTCTGGGCAGTAGTCGACTTGTGAAAATGAAGCGCTTCTTAAAGGAATATGACGTTCTAAAGATTCCCTGGAATCGATGGGTTGCGCGGGTGATAACGGAGGAGTAATTTTTGAAGAATGTCTTGTACGAGGAGGAGGCACCGGAGTGGATCCTCTTTTTAATCTGTCAGTAAGTTCTTTGTACCTGTGTTCGTTGTTCCTCTTTTCGGCGGCGGAAGTACGGTTTCCGCCGAAGCGGAATCTGGGAAGTCGGTCCAGCGTGTTATCGTCCTTGATGTCGTTGATATCTCCGTAAGCTGCTAATCTAGTGTAAACTTGCGGTCGCACTAGGGCACACCGTTTCAATTGGGTCTTTAACAAGCACTTACTCGTATAAAGTACATGGTCGCGCACTGTCGCTGACGCCTGCTGAGCCAGCACTTTATTTGACGTAGTAGCATCCTCGTTTATCCTCATTCTATTTGCGCAACTAATTATATCTAAGCTATTAATAGGCGGCGCGAGTAGAGGGATCTGGGAGACGGGAACATTGTCACAGCCACTGTCGCCGCAAGGAGTTGTTGGCCAACAGCTTTGATGATGGGAACGATACCGTGGCCCTATTCCAGGTGGGGGTGGAGATACGGCACCAACTCTCATCCCGTATCGCGTCGGTCCAACAGTCATGAATCTGAAAGTATACGAAAACGGCTGAAAACACTTGAATGCGTGACAAAAATAGAACGAACCTAGGGTGAGTTCGCCAGTAAGTCGACCACCACCAATAGTTGGCCGCAAATCACTTATATTTCATAATCATTTTAATTGCACCAGAGTTCATTCCGTAAAAATAGACAGCCATGCTACAGGCTTTAAGATAACACCTCATTAAACTGTCACAATAGAAAATCAAGCATTTTTTCGTTCTCTTAGTTATATTAAAATCTGAAAATATATACAGGATGGTTCACGAATAAGTACTTTTTTGAAAATATCTTTTCACAGGAAATTTATGTCAATAAAAGCCACAATATAAAATTATTTTCTCTTATACAGGGTGGGCCAACGAAAACTATACACCCCGATTTTCCGGCTTTAAAATGAAAATCGGGAAAAAGGCTCGAACCCGATTTTTGATTCGAGGGGGAACAACTTGTTTGGTTTTTCATCCATGTAACTTTAACCCTCTAACAGAGGGAAGCACAAGCCCCTGATTTTGAATAGGGGTGAAGGGTATTGCAATACCCCATTTTGAAGATCTCATTGACAACAAATTTCAATAATTTCAACAAATTTCAACAAATTTCAACAAATTTCAACAAATTGCAACAAATTTCAACAAAGTTCAACAAATATCAACAAATTTCAACAATTTTCAACAAATTTCAACAAATTTCAACAAATTTCAACAAATTTCAACAAATTTCAACAAATTTCAACAAATTTCAACAAATTTCAACAAATTTCAACAAATTTTTAACAAATTTAATCAATTTTTAAACACATGTTTATTTAAAGAAATTGTTGGTTATGATCTCCACCCCTTAAAATGCTTCAATTAATTCTTACTTAACCCCAAATTAAGACTCATTAAGCGCCTAAATATTGTACCAAATAAAAATTTTAGTTATTGTTAAACAGTTGCAGATATATTCAGTTTTTTAAAATGTATGGCAGTACTTTGAACCTACGTCTCCTTAAGGGTACAACTTGGTCTAGAATCTAGAAGTTGCATCAAATCATCATATTGACGTACCCAACATGCACCTGTTTTGTGTCGGTACTTATGCGAAACACCCTGTATTATGAAGATTGCAATAATATAAATTGAATTGTCTAATTCTTTATTGAACATATATTAATTTCTTGGGAAAATATTAAAGATTTTTGAGCCGTAGAAGAGAAATTAATTTTGGGGAGGCTTTTTCTAAAATGTTTAACATTTTAACGTTTAATTTGGACCAACTGCCACTAGATTATTGTTTTTGTTCTTGTTTCCGTGAAATATTTTCCTTGAACATAGGTAAATGTAAACTAAACAGATATTTATCCGTCTTCGTTTCTTGAATTAGTGTTTTCAAATGTTTACACATCTATAGAATAGAGGAATTTATAACCAAACTCGGAAAGTCGCATGTTATTTAAGGTGAAAGTCAAAGTTTATGAAAAAAGGCAGACTACTGGCGAATTTATCCTACCTTTTGTAAGAATCCTCGTGAGGATGGTCTCGTTGGGTTGCCGCTATGCACCGTTCATCGCCGAGGCCGAGGTAGTTTTCGTGCCACCTGGACATGTTTTATGCTCATCTTCATCGGGTATGCACTTGGCACGAACGTGTGGTCACCCACATGGTTCGATAGTCGGACCGGTCCGACGAGGAACCAATTCTTATGCGGTCGCACTCGGGTAGAATCTGATCGTGAGCTACGTACACAAACGACATAACAACAGGTAAACTCCTTCCATGCAACAAACTACTAAATGTAAACGATAATCCGTCTCTAAACCCAAAGCCAACTCGTCGATGGTCACCGAGGAAGGGGGGCTAGGGCTGCGGCTTGGGGTCGCGAGTCACTTGGACTTTTGATACTTCATATTACATACTGCATACTGCAAGCTACCACGGGCCTACCGTAACTACACTACGACCACTTCATACTCTGTTATGATTTCATATTCTTACTTACTATGCATACTATTATGCTGTACCATAATCACTTTATATTTTGTTTACTATCACCGGTCTTTACTGTAATACACACTACTTTTCTTTTTTTTTACACGATATGTCACCGTTCACAATAACCTGACCGTTAGGTACTTTTAAATAATGTGTATTAATTATTACCGAAATATTTGTCGATTTTTAAATCAAATACGTTGAGATTTGGTTAGAAAATTGCATGATATAAATTAAGCAGGTACAGTTTCATTCAAAGTTAATTTTCACAATTAAATAGCAGTATTATTAATATATGTGCATTATAGTTGGGATGAAACGGATTTATTTTTAATATCTCCTCCCTGATATACTTATCTATCAATATTTCTAGAGTTTTTGTTGTCTACGACCCTACCCTACTTTGTAAGATAGGTTTTGCCTAGTAAAACTTCTTTTTTCCATGTTCCATTTCTTTGAGACGCAACTTTAGGCGCCCTATCCAAAATTTTGGTGCAATGTCGCAACTTCTGGAGTTGACTTTTAGCCAAAGTTTAGCATCAGAACCTTCAACAATTTGGTTTTGAGGGTGTTGCTGCTGACTCTCAGTCTGTTAAGGACTATTTGGGCTTCTAGTATCTTTTCACCCTCATCTGCTATGTATGTTATACATATCGTTAATTTTGTGATATCAATGTCCTTCCGAACCTCGAGGGTTGCATCCTGCCAGGCTTGTGAGTGAGAAATATAGACGCATTATATTTATTTCTTAAAGTTCAATTCCATTGCTAGTAGTTAAGAAATAAACTAGATTTAAAATGACATTTTTGCTTTAACAATGTCATTTTATTCTTCGTTTAGTAATTTAAACTTTGCTTAACACAACGGTGGAATCGGACCTAAATTACTAAAACTGTACATACAAAATAACAGGAAGAGCCTTCCAGCAGTTCGAGATCCATCAAAATATTTGTAATAATCATCTCTAATCACTATCACTATTAGTTTCTATGTTGCAGCGATGAACTCAACTTTAGTCAATCTTAAATAGTTCGTAGCTTTGGGTCTTTTACTTTTAAATAATTTCAAATAAAAAATGTACAGTTTTTTTAAATTTTCCTATATATTTAAAAAAAAAAATATTCCTTCAATGATTCCAATTTATTGTGAGTCTGTCTAAGGGATCTATTGACGAGTGCGCTGGAGATGCGACCATTTAATGACAGATTTCTAGAAAATTATCGGTCATACTTACAAGCAGTGCGGTGTAGCAAGAGTTACTTTACAAATTTCCCCAGATCTGGAGAAAAATTGATGAAAGTGTATTCATTTAACTCACGCTCTAGTCTTACAGGATTTTTACAGGAAATTTTAAATACAATGGAACGGGTATTTGACATACGTTTACGACATAGAAAAATAGAAATCAACAAAATGTTTTAGGTTTAATGTTGTTGATACCATTTTCGGGAATGTCAGGTATAAAAATATAGGTATCTTCTTATTGTTTTTTTAAATTAGATAACCTGATTTTTGATGAATATTGATTAAAGACTCATGCGAAAAAAAGGTGTGTTTCATTTTTATATCAAAAAATAAAAGTCATTTGAGATCTTAATGTGTTTTATTTATGTATTTCAACTCCTACATGAGCAGTGTATCACAAATTAGTTAAAGATCGTGGATATATAACAAGATTCAAACAAAATTATCAGCAGTAGGTCAGTACGATGATTAAAGCCTTCAACCGATGTACAGTGTGTTTCATTTAAAAAGAAACAATATTAAACAAATCTAAAATCTTTGACGAAACCTGTTCTTTTTTTTTAGTTCGTTTTCAAATGGAACACACTTGATTTATTGAATAACATTGCCAAAGTCTTTTGACACATAAAAAATATGAAAGTTTCAACAATTTTAAAATCAATTTTTTGGTAAACTTACAAGTAAATTATGTTCTGATCTTTCATTGGTAAGTACATGTAAAATTTAAAATTACTTTTCATAATCTCACTATAAGTTTTTTTTATACTTCCTAACTATACCGTATATTTTTGGTCCCCTTTGTAACTGAAAATGTTATATAGAGGGAATTTTTTATTTATATTTTCTACAATTATATAGTTACTTCTAATACTCTCCTTTCTCCAAACTTTTTCTTTACTGTTAGATGAAATGAATTTTTAAATAATTCACCTAGTTCTAACCATGTCTACTATCGATTATCATCTAAATTCGTTTGTTATTTATGCTATTTTTGTTAGAATTGAAAAAATATTATAAAAGTAGACGTCCCAGTCCGACATTGCTTTTGAAGTATTCTATCCGTCAAATATACTCATATCTAATTTTAAACTGAAATTAGCTAGTTTCTAAAATTTTCATTTCAATTGAAGTTATTCTAATTTGTGCAATTTTACTCTCTATGTTACATATATTTACCATAAATCGATCAGAAGCTTGTAAATTTACCTAAAATGTTATTTATTAAGCCGCAGCTAGATATAATGTTTAATAACATAGCTATTATCTAAAATGATGATTCCTTACTGTGGTTAGTAAAATGTACAATAAAATAGAGAAAATGTCACTGCTTTTCTGTTCTCACACCGCCAGGGCAAAAGCAAACAAAAATATAAATAATAGTACGAAATTCGACCGTGTTTACTGCACCAGTCAGTTTTTTTTATATATATTTGTATAGATAATTATCGATAGAGAAATACAGTTTTGTCGGGTTGCCTATCAAAATATGGTCACAAGTGCTTTAAATTATTTTTTTTTAAACAATTTCGTTCTCTTGTTTTGAAGATTAAACAAAATTTAATTCCCCACTTGTCCGAAAATAAATTTATTATGATTTTTTTACTTGTGCCTTAAGTTGAGCACCTTACTTAGCAGGGCATGCGCAATAGTATTAAACTGACAGAAATATCCCAAATTTTCTCTCTCTTGTCCATTTTTAAGAGATAGCAACCCCTATACGCAGGCATTTTTACGTAGGCAACCGCATTCCATCGTGTGCAGATAAACATTATATTTAATTAAATATATAATTTATTAAGATAATTATAAACGAAGTCATACCTGTTTACTTATGGTTACCAAGAGGTTGCGGTAAAGTGAAAAACGGCACCGTAAACTTTTTAAGTTCTTTACATATCTTTCTTTGAAACGAAATATATTTTATCTTCAAAATAAGTAAACGAATTTTTTTAAAAAACTTATTTTTATAGGCAACCCGGGAAAATCGTTTTTTTTTTCTATCAATTGTATTTTGATTAAAAAACAAATGAATGCAGTAATCACACGGTCGGATCTTAGACTACAATTTTTTTAAATTTTAAAGAAAGATAAAATGACATTTGCTCTACTTAATGCTTCTACGCCGATACTACGCTTGCAGATGATTTGTGACGATATAAAGCACCATTTACGACGGATGGCATCAAATGTTTTATTATTAAAGGCATACTTACACATTTTAATTATTACGAATAGGAGATAACAAAAAGTGAGCGAGTTAGGTTAGTTTGTACTTCATAAATATATGTAGTATATTTTTATAAAAAAGAAAAAACAAAATTATTCTTTACAGATGTAAGAATAAATAGTCAGCAACTGAAGATGAAACTCTATAGCTATTTTGTGGTCAGCAGTGGTCCACAAAAATATTTACAAAAATTTTTATACAGAGTCAATCAAAATCATTAGCGTACATCCAGAATAATATTATTTAAGGAAATACTTTTAAGAATGAATATGCATTGCAAATATTTTTTTTACAAATATAAAACAGAGGGACCAAATATGTTCAATGTGCAAACTAAAGAGGTAAAGAGGCCAGTTTTTACATGGACCAAATATTTTTACACTGGCAGGCTTAAGGAGCAAAATGACCAAATATTGTTACATAGGCTGGCTTAAGGGAAGAAGATCCATTTTTTTACATGAGTGGTCTAAAGGGGTAAAAGAAACCAATAATTTTACATGGGCAGGGTTAAGGATTAAAGCGACCAAATATATTTAGACAAACAGGCTTATAAGTGCCAAAGGGCCCAAATATTTTTACAACAGGTTAAAGGGTTAAAGGGCTTGAATATTTTTTCATAAATTATTCAAATAAATTTGTAAATTCTAATCTTAAAGCGACATGGAATGGTTCTTAAAAACCAGGGCTAGAAATTTGAAGATCCTCTAGGGAATTTACCCTAAGTAACGTCAATGCTTCGGTAGGATTTGTTCCAAATCCTGCATGTTGCAGATATTTCTCTTTGTATACATACACCAAAATGAATGGCTTTATTGAAAATAAAATAATGCATATAAAATAAACTAAATATGAAATGTTTTATCTTCAAGTCGTAGTTACAAAAATGCAAATGATGTTGACAAATAAAATCATTATACCTGTTCTAGGTACTCCTGGTGTATTTATCTACGCTTGCGCACAAATTATGTTCTAAAAATGCAGTAGGAAAGATGCAGAAAGCATTTTTCATTCTTAAAATTAATGATAGGGAAAATCAAATAAATTATTAATGTTGTAACGTGTAAATGAAAAAAATAGAATTAGATTAAACATTTAAATATAATTTTTTTTAATATTCAGTCTTTTCGACGATTTAGCACCTAAATTTGATTTTCTTGGACACTTTCTCCAAAAAACTAATTTTACATGGACATTTTTTGTAAAATGAATTTTGTAAGACTCTGTATAACAATGTTACCTATTGAATTTTGAATACATCCTACGGATTAATATTCACTACTTTTCAACGAGCCATTATATTCCAGCTTCGGCCCATATTTATTTACATTATTACATTTACCGTCGTTACTGAGTATTAAAAATATAACAAATGCTTTCAATAGGTATTTTTTCTGGAAAGAGAAGGCAAAAATTGAACCACGTTCAATGCTTACAGTTTAGTCATAAAATTCGAACTGTACACGATATACAGAATGTCCCAAATTATTAAGAGCGTTCAAGATCAAGTAAATCGATTAATAATTTTAGATTTACGTGTCCCCAAACCTGTGTACCTACCATTTTTTGGGACATACTGCATGGAATATAAACAAAATTTTTAAACACTATATTAAATGCATCAACAAGATAAATCTAACAGCTATTTACATTAAATAAAAAATAAAAATTGATATATCCAAACTGATTGGTGCAGCAGGAATTTCGTATAAAGACTCTGTATTTCTAAGTTAAAAACCTGCAATGTTTGCTACCTTAAAATCTATGAAAATCAGTAAGGATTTATCATTTTTATTAAGCTGTGAACACAGAGCCCAGCCGCGTAACGAGTAATTTGAATTTTTTCTCATATTTAACAAAAATAAAATACATTTCAACCTTAATATTGACAAAAATATTTTAATTTTTTTCTGTAAGGGGATGCGCTTTGTTCTAATTACTTTTGACGCAATCAGAACCTTCATTTTAAATGTACAAACATCCAAACTTATTTGGAAACACCCAATATTTATAACAATATCAACGATTATATAAGGCATTAAACATCAAAAGAATAATGAAAATGATGAAAACGATGCGGGTGCATCCAGGATGGACACACTATAATTAAAATTAACAAAATTTGGTTATTTTCATTTACGTAGTATTCATTTAAAAAAAAAAATTGCATTTTTATTTTCTTACTAAATATATTTCAATAATTTTTATGTATTTTTGTAACAAAATTGATTTGTTTTTTTTTGTTATTCCATATCAGTTTGGTTGTGTGTATATTTTCCTTATCAATAGCATTCTACTTACAAGAATCTAGAATCTAGGACACAATAAAACAGACTTTTGGCCAAGTGCCACTCACTATTGAACAAAACAAAAGTTTCATTCATAAATCCCGCATAAAAATTTCGAACTTTTACTTAGCTCCTTTGAAAGGTTTAATACATAATATATTGAATGTTAATAGTGTAAACATCCATTTTGGCTAAGAAAGTTTATTAATGTTTATGTCTAGTCCAGAAGAGTAAACATTATTTTTACAAAGTTTTATTAATTTAAATAAAAATACACTGGTCAACAAATATTTTTGTCGTGACTTGATATATACATCTATTCGTAAAAAAATTATTATCTTGTATTAAATTCGTGGTGAGGTGTGCTCACTGCAGCTTGTAGTTACAGCAATGTGGTTTCCATAAATTAAAACACTCTACAATCCCGACCTAGCTTCTAGCGGCTATTTTTAATTTTTTAAATTTGGAGATTCCAGATTGTTTTTAATGGTATAGAAAATTTAATTATTTAAATAATCCCATAAAATGTATAAAATGATTGTTTAATTCTTTAATACGCTTAATCCGAGAACTTTTGGATTTTACCAAATATGTCCCATTTCTTTAAGATTTACAGTAACATAAAATATATACAGGGTGGAGATCTTAACTGGAATAAATTCCTAAAACTTCCCGAGACACGTCAACGTTTTAATATATTTACCTACATTTTGCAAGCAATTTGAAAATATAGCCCTTCGGGGGTAGCTGAAAATACCCTCAAATTTTTTTTTTTTCAAATGAAACCCTGTGGCTTGTGACCCTTCATTGCAAAGCTGATGGAACGAGGAATCCAGTGTACTTATCAAATATTATTTTCTAGTGCGTTTTGGGGTTGCATAAAATCAAAACATAATTTAAAAATTTAATTTATTTTCAAAGTAACAACTTTTTAGATCTCCTCACAAAAAATTCAAACCATTTTTTGCCACAACTGGTATTTGCTATTTTTTGCTAATGTTTATACACATCCGCAAAGAGAAATTTAGTTTGTAGTTGCAGTATTCAGCGTTCAATACGAAGTGTTGTTGCAAACTGGTGAAAATGCCTAATTATTTAACTGAAACGGTAAAGATCGAAATTTTGATGATGATTGGATATAGTGATATAATGATATGATATGGCAAACGAATGGTCTGAACAAGAGAAGGCAGTAAACTTGACCATAGCCCTTCGAGGAGACGCTTTAGACTATACCTGTGGAAGAGACCGATGATTTTGAACAACTCAAAAAGAGACTAAACATGCGATATGGTCACGAACACTTGGAGCATTTATACCAGTCAAAATTAAAGAATCGCAAACAGAAACGAGACGAGACCCTTCAAGAATATGAATTAGATATTGCTAGGTTGGTGCGATTTGCCTACCCATCAGCTCCAGAAAACATGATGGAATGTCCAAACATTTGTTGATGGACTGCGTGACCATGAGATGCAGAAAACACCCCGCTTAGTCCATCACAAAACATTAGTCAATGTCCTGTCCGCTGCTTTAGAGTATGAGGCAGCTACGTATGCTTCTGGTGGATACAGTAAAGTGAGGACTGTACAAGAGGAAGAAGGGGAAGAAAAACTCGAGGATGCGATTTCAAAGCGAAGTTGTTCGCCTGTTTCGAGAGTCGCATCCTGACTTGCCACCAATAAATCAAGGTACTATTAGTAAAATAGAGGCACAATATCGAGGAATGGGTTATGTCAGAAAATTACCGAGAAAGAGGCAAGCTATTGTCGATGACAACACAAAGTTGAATTTGAAGAAAATCCAGCCCGTCAACTGGCCCGTGATAGTAATCTTAATCACAAAACGATTATAAAAATACTTAAATATGAGAAAAAAACGCCAATATAAAATGTGTATGGGGTGTGTGTATTTAAATTTAATTCAAAACTGTGCAGTTAAATTAATTCTTTCAACCAGTATTGGAGCCAAAAATGTTTTTCTGAAAAGAAGGTAATCAAAAGTAAAAATAATTTAGCAAACACTCAAAATGTAAGTTACATTAAGTCAAAGTTACTACAAAGATACTCAAGTAATATTCAATTCTACGAAGTCACCGGAAAGCTTCGAATTATTATCGTTTTTAAAAAAAGAATACCGTAATATTGTTAATAAGGAAACGGTACTTTTGAACAATAAAAACATATTTGAGTGTAAACATATTTGAGTGTGGACAATAAACAAAAAACAGCTTGGCAAATAATTAACACCAACTTGGGCAGAAATAAATCTTCTAAAACCAATGATTTTGCAGATTCTATCTATTTTTCTTTAATGGAGCAAGATATATTTTCTCCAGCATGAATTAATGCCAGTTATGTCATTTATTTTCAAATCCTTGAACCCCAACTTGACCGACGAGAGGCTATGGTTTCAGCAAGATGTGGCCTCGCCACACTACGCTGCTATTGTTCGTCAATATCTGGACAGAATTTTTCCCGGTAGGTCGATTGGAAGGCGAGGGTACTATTGAGTGGCCAGCAAGGTCTCCAGACCTTACACCGCTGGATTTCTTTTTATGGGGACATCTCAAAAGTAAATTCTACATTCAAAACCAAACAACTTAGCAGGACCTACAGGAAAGGGTAAGAGAGGAAATCAATAAAATAACACCGGAAATGTTGCGTAACGTAAGAGACGAAACATACTACCTACTGGGATGTTACCATCAAGTCAATGGTGTACATTTTGAGAACTTGTTACACTGAAAATAAAACAAACTTTGTTCTGGAACCACCCAAAACATTAGTATGTATTGTAAATAAACTCAACCATATATACAGTTATGTGTAATACTTGTTGCGCAATGGTAGATTGGGAAATGCATAACCACCCCTACAATGGGTCAGGTGCAATAGCCAATTAGGTATAATTATTTAATTACTGCGCGTAATCAGGTAAGAGGGGAACTTCCTTTTGTTGGTGAGAGCCGGAAGTAAGAATAAAAGGGTCAAATTAATAATTATTGCAATGTAATCGTTCAAGGTGAGTGGGCGTCCATGTCCATGCTACTCATCTCTTCTAATTTGGTTCGGTTTCCTCAATTTACTGCCTCATCCAACTCTAAGTGTTAAAAGTTATTGTTAAAGTTGTTGTTAATTGTGATACGCAACCAGTAGTTTATTGTGAAAATAAATACAGTTAAAAGTAAAGGTGACATTTTATTCGACTAAAACGTCCTCCCCTGACGAGAGTTGATTGGAGAAATCAACAAGAAGGACCCAAACTTTTAAATTGCGTTTTGATTTTATGCAACCCATAAACGCACTAGAAACTAAAATTTGATAAGTATGCTGGATTCCTCGTTCCATCAGTTTTGCATTGAAGGGTCACAAGCCATAGGGTTTCATTTGAGGGTGGTTTCAGCTACCCCCGAAGGGCTATATTTTTAAAATTGCTTGCAAAATGTAGGTAAACATATTAAAATGTTGATGTGTCTCGTGAAATTTTAGAAAAATTATTCCCCTTCCCTCATTTCTTTAAGATTTGCAGTAACAAAAAATATATACCAATGTGATTCTCGAACTAAAAATAATGTGTATCAAGTTTTTGTTAATGAATCAACAGAGCTGCCACTTAATAGCCGATTTTAAATTTACTGAGGGTGTCGTATGCGTCATCCAATTTAGGTAGCGTAAAAGATTAACTTTGTGCGATATTTCACCAGGATATATTGGCAAGGGAGAAAATATATCACGGCAAATAGACGATAATTAGGCATGCTAGATGATCAGTATTTGATTATTATCATCCGCGATATTCGTATAAGATGTATTTAAAATTTTCAAGTCACGACAAAAATAAAATAAAAAATCGACCATAGATGTACCGTAAATCTAAAAATACAAAAATTGGATTTCCAATCGTAGAATTAATTTGCAAAAATATACTAGGAATCCCAGTCTATATAGTTTGTTTCATGGTTCTTAAATTTTTTCCTCATTAATTTAGAAAGCGCTATCCTAAAACTATATTTTTTGAGATAATGAAAATAGTATATCAATAACTTATTGCTTTTATCACTAAGTAAGGTATTTTCTTTACTCAGTGCCTTCACCTTTCTTTTAAATTTATTATTACTATTTTATGCTTTATCAATGTATCTGCATAATATTGAGGCTGAAGATATACAAACAATAGGTACAAATCAAATAATAGAATCATTAAACATGATTATTTTATCACATATATAGCAAGTTGTTTAGAGAAAATGTAAAAACTAATTGTAATGAAATTAAAATGGATTTCTTTTTACATTTAGGTATATCACGTGAATATATTACAGTAAAAAAGCAAAGAATAAATACTTCTAGGCGATCACTCTCTTTGGCTAATATATCACTTAAAACGACTGAAATATATCAGTCAAAAAGACTATAGACCAATCTCCGTCAATTTTCGTTCCAAAATTACCTAATTTTTTATTTTAATACAGAATTTAAAAACGTATGTTTGATTAATCTATCTTGCAATTTGATATCTATTGTAATCATCGAAATAGAATGAAGTAGAGACGATATAAACACTATTAGTCTAATCAACAAGTTCAAAAGCGTGTTTTTGGGACATACTATTACGAAAATTATGTTCAATAGCTCATTCGATTCGGAATAATGTCTAGATCAATGTGTGAAGAAAAATTTTGCAGTGCATAAAAATTGCAAAAGCTATAAACAATTAAACACCTCAAAAACATGGTGTTTGGTTTTTTCGCCTATAGTTTGTAAACTATAAATATTTTTGGGTTTCTCAAAAAAGATCCTTAAAGAGGAGGAAATTTGCTATAAATAAGTTCTAAATCCCGGCACTGTACCTCCATTATTTATAATTTTAATTTAACGCTCAAAGTAGCCTTCCGCGCGCCATTTTTAGGTTGCGCGCACGGCGTCGAAACGAGTACGTTGCATAAAATAATTTTTTTAAGTTAATAAAATTAAATTCAAAATTTAAAAATATTACGGTATATTCTAAACACTTAGAAGAATTCATTCCCGTTGGAATTTTTCATAAAAATTAATTTTCCAACAAAGTAGGTTATTGTTAATTAACAAAATTTTTAGAATTTCTCTTATCATTACAAATTGATAAAAATATTAAATAATTACCGTAATTTTTTTGATTCGTGGAGCTCTTTTTATATACATATAAAACAAAATAGCTTCATAAAAGTTTAAAAAATGTTAATACTTTGTTTAAAATAATTTTTTAAAATTTACAAAAACAGAAAAGTCACAGTGGTGCTATAAAAAAAATTTTTTTTTCAATTTATTATAATATTACTGTTTTAATGTCGAGAGAGACATTTATTAATTTAAAAAAAAAAATTTCCTCCATTTGTTTATAAAAAATTTATAAACAAATGGAGTATTTCAATTTTTTTCAAATTTTTTTTTTAACAACTTTCTAGACAATTGCCAATTATGATTTTTAAAAAAAAAATTTTTCTTAATAATAACTTTTAATTGTTTATAATCGTTTTTTTAATATATCTATTGTTTAAATTATTAGTTAAGAAATGTGTTTTTTTAAATCATAATTGACAGTCCTCTACAAAGTGACAGCAAAAAAAATTTTTTTATTAATAATTTCATTGTTTATTAGGTTAACAATTTGTTATAAACAAATTCCCAACTTTGGTTTATGTTTTCCTGAAAGAAATAAAAATTCCAAAAACGACTTGGTGCATTAAAATTACGGAAAAAATTTTATTCCATTTTTTATTAAACTTTGAAAATATACGTACTATCAAAGTTGCAGCAGCTGATCCATTTGTTGACTTAAAAGTTGATATAACTTTTAAACTATTGGAGATACAACAATAAACATTCAGTCATTTGTCAATTCCGTACCTATTGTCAATTTGTTGTTTTTTATATTTGTTTATAAAAATTGAGTTTTTTTTAAGTTTAATAAAAAATGGAATACATTTTTTTCCGTGCGCCGTGCGCGCAACCTAAAAATGGCGCGCGGAAGGCTACTTTGAGCGTTAAATTAAAATTATAAATAATGGAGGTACAGTTCCGGTAGTCAGAACTTATAGCAAATTTCCTCCTCTTTAAGGATCTTTTTTGAAAAATTCAAAAATATTTATAGTTTACAAACTATAGGCGAAAAACCAAACACCATGTTTTTGAGGTGTTTAATTGTTTATAACTTTTGCAATTTTTTATGCACTGCAAAATTTTTCTTCACACATTGATCTAGACATTATTCCGAATCGAATGAGCTATTGAACATAATTTTCGTAATAGTATGTCCCAAAAACACGCTTTTGAACTTGTTGATTAGACTATATTGAAACACTGTAATCAAAAATGGCGACTTAGAGTCGCACTTTGATTTATTTGAACTCAATTATTTTAAAAAATGGGGTTTATTCCACCAAACTGACTAGCTCGAGTTAGTTTGACACATGACACTTTTAGTAACGTCATATCATCTCTTTATTCTACCTCAATAGTTATGAGTAATCTTGAATATCTCGGAAGTTGTTCTATAAATAAAAGACATGGCCCTTTAAAATGCATCATTTTTGCTGAATATTGCTAAGTATATTAATAATTAGAAGCATTAGTCGGTGTACATTCTAAATATTCAGAACTTCCACGAAACTTCCATTTGAATGAAATAACATTCCTCTCAATTCCCGATTGTCAAGTCTGCACCAAATTCTGTTCAATAGACCTGAAAAACTCAGATCAATTAAAATGTATTCCCTGTTTTTCTAATTTCAGCTTTGTTCGTTACGTGAACATCATTAATTAACAAAGGTCAATCAATAATACCTTTCGTTTAGTTCGATAACATCCAACTTTCTGTAATTTTTATTTCCCACTATCAAGGTAATTTTTTGTTGACATATTATTTCAATGAAATCAATAATCGAATTTACATCTGCTTGAAAACAACCAGAATTAGAATGCAGTGCCTTGCTTCCATTATTTTTTGCGAAAATTATATTTAGAACACACTCTTGTCCCATATATATTGTATATCCTAGTATTAAAAAAGATAATGCTGGTGTTTAATACATAAATGCGTGAATTAGCTTATGTAATAATTAATAATGTTATCAGTAGCTTTTGACTGACAGGCGATTGAAATAACTAGTCTGGTAAACTTTGATGATTTAGACACATCACATTCGCAAGCTCTGACAAAGTTTATCATATCCTGGAAAATTATTTAGTTACTATGAACCAAATATTAAAGTATGATAAAATATGAAATTTAATTTTTTAGTAGCATCTAACAAAACAAAGTTCTTTCTTTCCGATATTTTTTTAGCCTCGAACAACGACTAAAAACCACAATATACTTTCCTTTATTTTTGTTATCTGATCTCCTGTGTGCTACTAAAAATATATAATAAAGTATCAAAACGCTGCTAGTGTTCCAAAAGAAAGAAGTCAAACATACTACTGAAATCGAGAAGTAACTGTATAGGTTGATAAAATTTTTATAGAGGTAAAAGAAGTTGAGAGTCGATTCGGAGAAATATTGTCGGACATTTAAAGGAAATAGATTGCTGGTCATCAAAAAGGACAAAGGAGTGAACGTGAGCGGCTTGATAAGAGGAATATTGACATAAAGAAGTTTGTTTTATTCACACGGTTGAACAATTTACTATTGAGGCTGCAGATAGAAAATTACTTTTTCGCCAAATAACTTTGACATTTCATTGAAACCACAATCTGGTGATTTACCGCACCTTTTTCTATTTTAAAAAGAGAAAGAAGGTGGAGTATAGGAAAGAATACATCGGTCAGATTTACCATGAGGAAAAATTATGGTATTATGATCTAATTAATATTATACACTGATTTCGTAAAGAAATGAATAGATTTATTTTTAGCCAAAATATTAATTTGTAAGGAAATTCCCGAAACAGCTCGATATTCCAGCATTAAAGTCCCAGTTAAGTGTTGTTTATGAAATAACTGAAATTAGTGATAAAAAGACGCCCATCAATGTGTTAAATTTTCTTATAATAACTGGTTTAAATAAGTCCCTTTGTGAAGTCGTCAAGTTGTGTGAATTAGTACTAACCATCCGAGCCACAAGAGCGTCAGTTGAGCGAAGTTTTTCAGCTTTAAAGCATTAAAAGTTTTATACGAAATTCAACAAGTGAAGACAGACTCTCTAATTTAGCCCTAATATCCATTGGAAAACAGCTTGTTAAACAGTTATCAGAAAATCAAAACTTTTACGACGATGTTATAGACAAATTTGCAGCCATTGAGGATAGGCGAATAGAAGTATAAATAAATGTCAACTTCTGTGTCAACTGTGCGAAAAATGCTGGAGAAAATAAAAAACTTCAGTTAAATGTTTTGATTTTACATTTAAATAAACCAAGGAAGCTTTTCAATGGTAAGTTTTTTTATAGCTTCTACTGAGGAAAAAAGCAAGATTTTGACAAAATGGTGAATGAAAATTTTCTCCTGCGGCGCTGTGCTTACTGGCCTGTTGTATTTTTATACAATCGCTTCCCCTTCCAAAAATATCACCGCACGCCACTGATTAATGTACATACTTCCAAATATAATGTGTTAAAAATATTCGACCGTGTTGTAACGTTGGTATAAACTAGAAACGCTAATATTATTCGTTTCCTGTTCTCTGTAGTTTTCTCATACACTTATGCAAAACTTATTGGAAAGCGTTCGATAACTATATATAATTATATAAAATGTGATAAAATAAGTTTAGTCTAATTTGTATTCAGAACTTGAATGTCGGAACGAAACTCCAAATTCCATTGTCCTTTTAGTTTTACTAAGCTAACAAGATTAGTGGGTTATATCGGTTCATTCACGTACCTATAGAATATTTTATTTATGTGTTTATTTTGGGCAATGTCGAAAAATTATACAATCAGAATATTAACGGAAATGTGGCCAAATTTGGACACGTAATTTAAATTTAATCATATTTAAAATATACCAGTTAAGCTTAAATTAAAAATTCACCCTACGTCCGAGCAATTTATCTACCAGCAGCAGATTTTAAATCCGTTCCCCATTATTATTGATGTGAAAATAATTTAATGCTAGCTTAAAATTATGAGAACTTTAATAAATATAGGTACATCCGACGAGTACTCACTTGTTTCGAGAAAATATATTAAAAAAAATAAAATTTAATATAGGAGAAATTTAATTGATCTATTTTTTTAATAATTGCATTAGCAACCTCCCTGGCTTCGTACGGTAAAATTCAGTGGCGTAGCGTATAGTAGGCTAGGAGAGTGACGGTCTCCCCTGTCCTTTGCGTTTAGAGAACCTTTAGCACCCTACACAGAGGTGAGGAGCGCCCCAGAAAAGCTTCGCCCCCTTAGCCCTTTGGACCACGTTACTCCACTGATGATATCTTCTATAGTATTAATTTGAATGAAAAAGTGTAAAAGACAATTTTAATCTATATTAAATGCCCAAGACAACTGACATATTTATTTAAATAAGGATTATTAACGAATTGCAGAAAATACAATTTTCGAGCACATTGTTTTGATGTATCTCTTAAGATTTAGCGTTAGCCATGTAAACGTACGAAATCAGTTTTTTTTTTTTGACAAAACACCGTCATATTTCAGTCATTTTGTATAAAATATTTGCAAATTATTTACATAGATCTTCTTCGTTTATCGCTCTTTCTATTAGTGAAAACCGTATCAAACTCCGTTGCGTGGTTTAGAAGAAGACAAAGGCAGACAGCGATTAAACTATTTAGCGATTCGATGTCAGAACAAGACAGATTACAGCTTTGCTCATTCCGTAAAACTGAAGTGGGACTAGAAACAGACAAGTTAAATTTCTACAATCTATTATTTCTTTAAATTTTTGTCGTGGATTTTTTAAATGGTTTTTTCAATTTAATTTTGTTTTGAATTGTTTTTATTGTTTCAGATAATTGGTTTGGAGCATAAGAAAAAAGGTAAGTTAGCATGCTGTTAATTATTTTGGTAATATAAATTTACCTTTTTCAAGTGAATATAACTTTCACTATGCAGTTTTAACGGTTGTATTTTAAATTAGTACGAAAAACTGGAAAAATCTACAGGGTATAGTAATTTTAAAAAATATATCCTTTCGTTATTTTGGAGTAATGGTGCACCCGGCATATTTCTAACTGACTTATTCTGATGACTTGATTAATTCATAAAACTTTATTTAAAACTTTCTTTTGCAAACTTACGTGACTTTTTATAAACGCTGTATATGACTTTTTGAAATTAGCAATTCAACTTACCAAAGCACTTTGGTAATCTGGTGAAGTGAGAAAGTCGGTTTAGATTCGAAACTAAATGCAATTTTTTGAAATAAAGAAAATGAAAAATCCCTAATTCCTTTTAGAAATCATGAAAATTACACCCTCATATCCCCAAAGTCAAAACAAACCAGAGAAAAATTGAAAAAAGCTGAGAAATAATTGTAAGCTATTAAATTTTTACTTTAACATATGTTGTGCTTTTTAAATAAAATGTATTTTTAATCATTTCTACATATGCATTTCAAAGAATGTTTATTTATTTGTTTGTCATTATCCATTTATTAAACCATGATAATGCCTGGTCCTTTATAGGAATGATTTTAACCATAATCTAAATATCTACCGGTCGTTTAATCACATTAACAAATTAGAATAAATTAATCCTGATTTTGTTGGCGTGTTTACAATCATTAAAAGTGTTGTAGCCTGTCACAGAGATATGTTAGAAATTATAGCCGTTTAACACTAATTTTATTGTTACAGCTATAGTCAAAAAATTAAATATTTTATAATAAAATAAAAAAATATGCGCACTATTTCAAAGTTATGTACTCAAGAGGAATCTGTAGTTTCAATTTCAGGTAAGAAAAGAGAATTAAATGGAATATGTATATTGAAATTTTATATTTTTGAGTAAATAAATATTTATTATTAATAATATTATTGTTAAATTATATTCTCTGCAAAGGGCGCTAAATACTCTATTAGTATGGTGTGGATTAAAACTTATTTTGACTTTGCTTCCCACTTTGATGTCACAATCTGAATTTTTCAGGGATGAAAGTACATGATAAGCTAACCCCTATTCCGGAGGTAATACAAAATTAGACAGTGCAAAAGGGCATAAAAAATCGAATTATTGATACCACCGTATAAAAAAATGCTTACTTTTTGTTCTAATGCACAATTAGGTCTTTGTAGGAAGTATTTTTTTATAATTATTAAAAAAAAATCATTTGCATTAGCCCTTATAGTCGAAAAAATATTTAAACGTCTACAAATTTGTATAAAAAGACTATTCTTCATAAACGTCTCGCCTATGTATTGAAAAGGTAACAGTGCTTTCCCCATATTTATTATTTATTAACAAAAATATACCAATAAGCAATTAGTGATGTCATGGTTTTACTAGAAAGCAAACATTTAAGGCAGAGCCTCTCTATTCTCTCTAATATTATTTTATACAGGAATTGTTGATTTATCCGCTATGAATAATAGGGTGTATTAATTATTTCAAGATTTTTTATTTTTTGAGGAAAATAAAAAAAAAATAAGAAAATAAAAACTATTTTTTGAAGTTATAAAAACAGTATATATAAGTATCGATTATAAACAATAAGGCTATTGCTTTGCAAAATACAATAAATACCCAATATAAAAAAAATTATTATAATAATAATAATAATAATTAGAAGTATATAAAGCATAAATTAATAATATGTATTAAAATATATAAGTACAAGACTTTCAAACTAATCAGCATCAGATTCACCACACGAATCAACATTTTCCAAAACATTATCGGCTGTGGTCAAACTATTTCTGCAGTTTTTCTGTGACATACAGGTGCAGGAACCGATACAGCCAATATTTTGTTTCCTGCATTTGCAAATTTTGCTTCTATTGTACATCTATGAAAATTACCGGTATATAGTACCTTTTTTGCATTTGCATGATGTAAGTTCTGTTATGTCTGGTGGCAGGTCGGGTAGTCTTAAAAGTGGGTATCAGACTTCCATCCAACATAAGGAAGCTGCATCTGCGGCTTTAAAGAGCTTAGCCAAATATTTAGCTGGTAAGAACATCTTAAACAATGTAGTCTTAGGGCGTCTTCAGACAGTAGCAAATTAGCGATGGTTTTTGAAGAGGTCATTAATCCCCTCAAAATGTTAATGGAAGTAACATTGGCAGTTTTTGCATAAATTTGTATGAAAAATTTTTGAAGATTAGATAATATTATTTCAGAGTACTGATCAGTGCCAAATCCATCCAAAAAGTAGGTTTTCCAACAGCAGGCAAATTTTTTAGAAGGTTTTCATCCAAATTTAAATCATGTACTGCTAGAAATCGTCTTGAGTCTCCTCTTCCTGTTCTGAACCATATATTTTTAGTCAAAAACTTCTTAAAATAAATTAATGAGACTAGAACATCTTTATCGTTGCAATCAATAATGCAGCGTGAATGCCTTGAATTTTTGGCTGACAATATGTAAAAAATGATTCGATTATCAGCTTCTTCGTGATTTGAATTTAAGAATTCATCTTTAGATGGTTCAAAATTCGTCCCATATTTATTCATATTCGCGAATCCACCACTAGTTACAAATTGAATATGCTTTTGCTGAATCGAATTTTGAAGAAGTTAGTCTGACACAAAGTTTGTTAAACGTCTTTTGTTAAATATAGAATGAATAAACTTCCATTGTTGCGAAAGTGGAATATTGGGTCGGTCAATTTCTATATCAGTTGATTTCTGGGATCCTCTCTTTTGACGTGTTGTATTTTTGATAGAATGTTCTTTATAATGATTAAATACCACATCTATCCTTTGAGTATTAAATTTATTTCTAAAAATATATTAGCATATTCTTTAAATGATATGCAACTTTTGGGCTTCCCTATTTTGATATCATTTTTGTCTTTGCTTCTTACAACAACAAATCCGTAATTAAAATTTTAAACGAAAACTCATAACCAATATATTCAGCTGCAACATGATGAATGTAGATATAATAAAGACGCAAAACTCTCTATATTTCTTCCCAATTTATTAGGTACTTTAATGTATACACTTATTAATTATTTAGTAAAACTGATAGATAACAGACACATTGCCCATTGGAGAAGTTTTATAATAAAAAAATTAAAAAATCCTACCATAATAATAACGTGATACATCAGCCGGCACGTAGAGAGAAACAGAGCTATGTTACGTTTAAAGACGAAGAGAAAGATACACTGAGAGTCGATGAAATTGGCGGTAAGAATTAATTACAGAGTAAACCTATGACATCTCTCATCGTTTATAGTTATATCTTTGTTAATTCAAAAGCAAAAAATATGGTGTTTACTCTGTTACCTTGTCAACACATAAGCAAAAATTTTATAAAGAATGTTTTGTTCCTTTTTAGTTAAATGAGTGGTATATTTAAAAAAGACGACTTTTTAACCAAATTTTTGAAGGGCTGAAACCGAGATATTTACATTTATATTTTTTTTTCGGCCGTAAGGGCTAATGCAAATAATTTTTTTTTAAATAAGTATAAACAATTATTCCCTACAAAGATTTTATTGTGCATTGGACCAAAAAATGAGTATTTTTTCTCTATTCGGTGGTATCAATATCTGGATTTTTGATGATAGTGCCCTTCTGCACAGTCTAATTTTGTATTACTTCCGGAATAAGGGTTACCTTATCATGGACCTTTCATCTCTGAAAAATTCAGCTTGTGATAAAAGAGTGGGAAGTAAATCGTTTTCTGGAGTGAATATTTATTAAACACTCTACTATATACGAGGGCGAGTCAGCTTCAGTATCTTAAATAAATATTTTTTAAATGCAAGAGCAAATCAAATTTTTGTCTTTGTTTATTGCACCGAAAAGTGGAAAAATAACAAATTGTTATTGCAATATAATAATACGTATCTCCATTTTTCACTATACGGGCGTTAGATTACAATGTCAAGTCACCATTGATTGAATTTAATTAAAATAGATATACTTATAGATTAATTATATATAATATAATTATAGATTGTAGAAAATATAAAAAAAGAAAAATACATTTGTTAATTTTTTATGCAGTCATTACATAGATGCTTTATAAGCTATATTTTTTAATGTAAATATAGTCTTTTAAATTTATTTGGCAAGTTAAATTTAATTTTTGAAAATTAGGTTTTGAATTGTAGATTTTTAAAAAAAAGGTGACATCCTGAACTTTTATTATTATTATTAAATTTAAATTCAAAAGCTAAATTCTTTTATATTTTTGGATCAAATATCAAGGCTATACTTTTAGATGAATCAAACGGTTTGATATATTAGTGTTAATGAATTTAATGTTTTCAATAATGTCTGAAAACGAAAGGTTTGCATATAATAAGAAATTTCAGGTATATAAGGTATATAATAATGGTCCCTAAAATCAATCTCTGAGGTACCCTTTATTTTTACCTTTTATTATTTTTTGTTGCCAATTATAGTGAAATTCAATTAATTTACATTATTACACATCTAAGAAATCCTCTATCATAATTTTTTTTTTAGATATTTTAACTTCACAAGCCTGATCTATTAGACTGAAAAGTTGTGATAAATCGTAATGCTTTGTTATAAAGAATTTACTATTGCCCTACCACTGTTCTATTTTAACATTTTATTAAATTAGTCCTGATTTTGAACACAAACTAGTTTTCATTCCTAGTTTAAAGAAATTCACTGCAATTTACGCGAAAATGCAGCTAATTTGTTGACCCAAATAAATAAATTTAAATTTATATCAAAGGGTTTCTATTGTATAGCTAACTTTATATTTTTGATTGTTGATAAGGTCAAGTTGTAACGATATGCGTGCGACGCCACAATTTCGTTAATTATTATTAGAAAACATCGATTTGAAGAAAAATGGAGAAAACAAAAGTAAATATTTATTCGATTGATTGACACTAACGATTGAATGTGTATTTATATATAAATATATTAAAGGATGTGTAGAATAATATAATAATAAAAGTCAATACGTACTGTTTCATTTGAGAGGAACGCAAGTCCTAGTATTCATGTTATTGAATTTATCCTAAGCTTTACGAAAAGAATTTAAAAAACAAGCTTGAGAACATTCAAGATGTGGCTTCGGGGCTCATTAATTTTATATTTCAGCTACTGGACCTCCTGTGGTCGAGATGCTAGTTGTCATTGTCTTTCCTATGTTTCTGAAATAATTCGGATAGTCAGTTATAATGCGAGTGAAATTAAGGAATATATTTACCCTCCAACTGAGACTGAATTAATAACTCCGTCCACCAGACTATCTCGACTCAAGTCGTCCACCATAGCGACTTTGAGGTGGTGACCGAAACTCGCTAGGTCTTCTCTAAATGCTTCACTGGCCGGTGTTAGGCCTCCGCTGGCTGGTGGGATCGGTGTTCCATCTGGCCCGCTTTCACCCTCCATGTCTATGTCTTCGGCGTTCTTCTTCAGTGGGGCCTCCTCTTCGTCTTCGTTATAAATTTTAAAATAGGCGATAGCCAAATACACTACAGATATAATAAACGAAGGAATCGGTATTGCCATGGCGTACACCAAGTTCATATAAACTTGCCACATGTCCAGGTGGCTTATGACCAAACTGCGATCTACTTTACTATAATAGCAAGAAAAATTTGATCCGATCTCTTGGTGGGTTTTTAAAAAAACTGAACAGTTGAGCATAGGAGGATAACCACAACCCTTCACGTTGGGAAAAAGTTTTGCTTCCTGGAAGGTCCATCCTTCGTCGTCGGCTGGTAAAGTAGCGGATTCATCTTCATCGTAGTCGTAGTCTTCTAAAAAACCTCTTTCCTCACGCAACAGAAGAGCTGGCGATGGCTCGGTTGACGAGACCGATATGTTAGAACGGTTCGCTGCTTTATAATTTACAAAAATTTGTGTGCATGTATAAATATCTTTAGTGCAACCTTCTCTACAAGACGTCCAACTACAATTTGATGCACCTATGCGTCTATCGGTTCTTAAGGTCACACAGTAAGCGGGTTCTTCGTCGAACTCCATGAAAATCGTTGTAAACGCCGGGTCGATGACAAAAGGCACAAGGAATAAAAATGAAAATAAGCTAAAAATACCAAGCAGCACGAAGAAAGCTGTTGTATAAAATAGTAATTTTTGTCTCCAAGTTTGTTGAATCTCTTCTGTCTCCATGGTCGCAATGTAAGGGCTATTTGGAGCTTGGACCCCAACATCTGCGTCCACAGACGAGAGCGAGCGGCTCTGGCTAGCTCACACCATAGATCCACGACCGCTTGGCTATAACTTTCTGTAATAATGCAATCTTTGTGTCCATTTTCTCAACCAACACATATCTTTACTTCTAATACACCAAAATTCGAACATTTACATCTTTACGGAAAAAAGAAAATAACATTTAAATATTTTTAAAATTGCTTTTAAGGAAACACTTTAATAATTATGAATCACAGTCGTTACGGTTTAGAAATAACTTCGCACAGTTGGAACGAATTTCGTGTAAAGTGTGCCGTCGACGGCGGGCATTGTGTTGTGAGCACTGCAGTCCGTTCTTATGGTAGGTATCGATTTTGGCGCCGATTCCGTCAGATGACTGGAATAACACTGTCACACCGTTTTCCATGAGAGGAGCCACTTGCTACCCTTGCTCCGCCGGTTTCATCCCTCTCTATTGACGATAAACACAAATGTAAGTATTTCGCACAATTGCGTATAAGTATTTCGATACGATACGTTTAATTTATAATGTTTGTTATTAATTACTGTTTGTTTGCATTATTGAATTTAGTTGTGATAATAAATATATCTCGGGCAGGCAGTGCGCGTGCTATTATTAGCCTCGCCGCAGTAGAATATTGATCAAGAGGCGTGCGCGTTTCCGAAACATCCACCAACAACCAACCACCGCCACATTCAGTTCCCCAAGATACACTACACTTGAATGGCGGCGGTAATCATCCCAATTTTTTGCTGACATCAGTATGCGAAGTAGAGTTTCAAAATGCCCAAAAAGAAGCCGACTCCCGTTGAAGACCTTATTATTCCCCCGCAAAACACGAAAATTTGCGGAACGATATGCCTTTGTCAGTTAACTCTAATTCTCAGTAGTGTAGCAATAGTTTATTTAACAGTTGCGATTTATGTACCTTCCACTCGGGCAATGCAATCAGGTATATCCGAAACACCAGTGATGTGTACAACAACTCGGGCAGTTCAAGCGGAATCTTGCGATTGGGGTTCTTGTGGTGAATGGTGTCTAAGCAAAACATCCGGTTCATGTATGCAAATTTACGTTAATCTTAGACGGAATGGCTCCAACTTGCTTTTAGTGAATTGCACGAGTATAGCGCAAAAAATTTGTTACGGTAAAGATCAAGAGAATGCCAAGAAAAGCAGATGCATTGCAGACGAATGTAAGAACCTCACCGGAACCTTCAACTGCTCAATGGGAATGTGTCTGGATCTTACCGATTCTTTTGAATGTATCTACAAATACACAGATCCGCCTTTAAAATGCTCTGGTAGAAGAGGAAAAATCACATGTATCGACTTAAACGGTTTGTACAGTTGTAATAGAGGAACTTGTGAAAGAATTCGCACACCGTATAATTGCGATCGTCATTGTGGAGGTGCGGATATTGTAACTAGAAACAAAAATGTAATAGTGTTAAGTGGAGACGAAGTATATTTATCGCAGTGTCAGCGTTGCATCGATACTGATACGGGCCAAGAAGTATGGAACGAATCGCAAGAAAATATTATGATGGCATCCTGTTACACGATTTTAAACAGCACCAAGGGGTTAGAAGCAGTAGATTGTGTAAATGGATCATTATTATCCAACAGCATGTTACCGAATGTTACCAATTTCACCTACATCAGTTATCTTAGCATTTTTAATACGGTGGTGTTGGATGAAAAGGCTATAGCTGCACCTCCAGAACCTGACCTACTTATTGCGAACGATAGCAAATTACTTATAAATCTCGAAGGTTGTGTTAATACCCTAAGGGACGAATGCCGAGATTTCCTGAAGATGTACGGAAAGGATGGAACTGATCATTTCGCCAGGGCTCGCTTTCCCTGTTTTTATTCCGTCGATAATCCCGCTGTAGTAGTGGCACGCTTCGATTTAGCTACGACAACAAAGCAATTTTTAATAGCTTCTGTCCTGCCCTCGATACTATTCGTCGTTTCATGCCTGACCCTGATCTTTTGTCAGCGTACAGTTGTGGTTGGTGATGATGCTAGAATGCGTTTTCAGGGCTGCATAAAGGCGGAAGCAGAAAATACAGAAAAAACTGCCTCTTCGAACAACATAAACGACAGGGGAGGCGGCAATTCGATCATGGCACTTTGAGACCAATCACGTAAGCACGAATCATTACAAATTGATATTTTTTTGTTTATTTTCTATTTTTTTATAGTATAGTAGCATGCCTTTAATCCATTCAAAATTTAATCAGAAACTTACACACTAGATATTATTTTTTAGAAACTACTTTCAGATCCTAGTGTTCCACTTTATAAATATATTTTTCATCAATTATTAATTTTCGAAAATTCTACACTTTAATATTAGCCGATTGCAAAAACGTTCCTTAAATATTAATCTTTACCCAACTAGCACAAAAACATCCCATCTACGTTAATAAGCTGCAATTTTAGGCTCTTTAAGCTCGCATGCAATGTACTTTTAATGTAACCCTAATATCCCTGCAACCTCCGAATATCCGCAACGGCGAGACTTTTATAGCACATCTCGTAGAGGTTACAAAGTGAAGTTCGAAAAACATCACACTAGCACTTTTACGGTACTTACACCGAAAGTTGCTCTGAAACGTTCTATTGATGTAATGTGAATTAGCATTATACAGCATTATACAGTGTGTCCAAGGATGGACTTAACTATATTTATAAAAATATTTGTTTTAAATTAAAAACAGTAATTCTTCATAATTTCTTTTGCTTGTTAAATAAATACGATTCACATTGAGAAATTATGAAAAAACACTTTTTCTTAATTTAAAATCCATCTATGGAGACACTCTATTTTTCTTTGTGTAATGTAATACAGAGAGGCTGAAATTGAGGTTTTAGTAAAATCTCAAGCGAGACATGAAAATTTCAGATAATACAAAATATTTATATAAATTTATTATTAAAATGTTCTTGAAATCAAGTACCAATATCACAAAAGTAGAGGTAGATATATCACAAACGCAATTACACATGTGCGATATAGTAGAAGCTACCTATAAAGCGGTGAACGATTGGACAAAATTAGCTACATAGTATAATAATATATAATATTAAATGGTAAACGATTGTACAAAAATATATTTATATAAACAGTACGGGTTCAGTGAAAATGTGTCAACATCGGATGCAATAACCAGGTTACTAGGAATGATAAATAATGCTTTAGACAAAAAACAACCATCCATTGTCATTTTTGTTGACCTGGCTAAGGCGTTCGACACCGTCGATCACAAGAAGCTTATATCTGTCCTAGAAAATGCGTGATTTAGGGGTATTGCTTACAAGATATTTGACAGTTACCTTAACAAAAGAAAACAGTGTGTGAATATTAGTGGAACTCACAGTGATTTCAGAGTTGTAAAATATGGAGTACCACAGGGAACAGTCCTGGGACCAATTCTCTTTAATATACACTTGAATGATAAAAGGTGATATTGTGAGTTTTGCTGATGACACCGCTGTCTTCTATAAAAATGACAATTGGTCAGCTCTCAAAAATGATATTGAATTTGATTTTGTTAAAATAGTAAATTTTTTGAGAGCAGACTACTCACAATAAATAAAAAAAACCTTTTTTTACCGTTTACTTCATATAGCACCGACTTACCACCATTTGAACAAATATCTATTACTGTATCCACAAAAGAAATGCTTCATATAAAAACATCAAATAAAATTAAATATCTCGGGATTTTCCTCGGTTCCCATTTAAGATGGGACCATCAAATAAACTATTTAATAAAAAAACTAAGATTTGTACTTAGCTGACTCAAAGAAAGTTGAAGTGAACTTAAAGAAAATTAAATGAAAATATTTAATGTTATTCTCTTAAAATATTTTTCATAATTTTCATATTTTTATATACATTGCATTGTTTTAAAAATATTGAATAACTATAAAATAAATATCTATTATTTTAACTATTGATTTTTATTAATTGGGACACTAGGTGAATTTACCTCATATTATTTATTTTAATTTTATAGGGCGTGAAAGCTTGGATAACATTTTGTTGAAGATTATGTTGCTTCCTTAATTTAAAAGGGTATGAAATTAATTGTATTGTTTGTTTTGTCCGTTTTCACTCTTTATTTTTGTTTTAACCAACCAACTGGTCACTTAATTCATATTTGATAGAAAAAAATATCAGAATTCTTCTCATGATCTGAGTAATTGTATCTTAAAGCATGGAAAAAAATGGAATAACATGGAGTATACCAAATTATTACTTTACAAATATTATATTTTCAAATGTAATTAGATAACCGATAGTTTAATAAGACAAAATAGTAAATCAGTTGAGAAAATAATTACTGGAGAATGATCAAATATAAGATCAAATTTAAATTATTTTGAATTGATTCCATTATTTAACAAAGTGAAAGAATGACTTGTAGATTAATAAAATAAATGCATAGTTTCTCATAAAAAAAAACAGTTTTCATTTCAAATGCATTTAATTGATATTTCCAATGAAAACATTTTTTTTTAATGTTTTAGCGTTTAAAGTATTGTCGCATTAAGGGCAAGCTGGATATTGATTTACACCAAGCCAATTTCCATACTTTAAGATAATGTCATTCTTCGATCCACTCTCAAATTCATAATAAAGAGTTGTGTTGGTTGAAATTATGTAGGTATGCACTATGAAAATAAAAAGTTGGTGAACAATCCATATTTTCAAGTAAACCTGCTACAATTAAATTCAAATTAAAAATATATTTAAGTAACATTTGATTTGCTGATTTAAGAAATCGCTGTGATAGGATTTTTTTGTTCTGATAATTTCTTTCTCTTCTCCATTATAGAGCTGAAATTGAGTGATAGATTATTTGAAAAGTATTTTGTACTTCTTCTCGACATTGGTAAACTGCTTGAATAAATTAAACTGTCCATTCTTTTGTGCTTCTCTTCCTTCCAATTTTAATTTTTTGATAAAAATTATTCAATAAATGCAAAGGTAACATTCTGAAAAACAATAAAAACAACAAACAGTTGCATACATGAAATTTATTTATTGATTGTTGAAAACTGCAATATTCTATTCACAAAATCGGTCAGATATTACAGTGTACTGATTTATATTGTTAAACAAAATCGATAACGATGATGCATACACAATGAGAACAAAAATTTATTTATAAATAATAACCTCATCGAATACATTTTAATTTCGATTTTAAGCAGCATTTATCTTTTCAATCTTATTATTTTTCCTGCACATTATTATAAAATGTTTATATTATACTTTTATTTGTAACCTGCTATTCTAAAATAAAATTGTTTTCTAATTTGTCCAAAAACCCTCAAAAACCTTTAAAATTATATAATTTGTGTACGAGTAAACGATGTAATTTTCAAATGTTTGCTTTTTTGTGTTTTGGTATTGGGAACCTTGATGCGATTTTAAAGTTTGACGTCAAAGTCTTAGTTCAAATGTGATTTTTTGGAGATGATATCTGTCTTGGAGTTACTGCTGCTTTTGTTATTGTTGCTTTTATAGCTGCATAGACTGCTATGGCTGTACGCACAACTGTTTTTTTTTTCTTGAATCGTCCATTCTGCGTAGATGTCCAAATCATTTTAAATGTTGCATATGAATTGTTTAAATGACTCATTCTATCTGTAATTCTTCTTTTAGTAATTTATTGTTTTATATCATTTAATGATTCTTGCTTTGCTATTCGTTTCGATATATTAAAATTGACCTGTATTGATATAAAGACTGACATTATTGTTTTCTCATTAAAGTAGTACCTACTTAATTGTACCTCATTTTTCCACTTTTTTGTACTGTTTTGTAATTAATTAATTATTCAAAATGCCTTTTGAATAATGAAAGAATTAGTTGATTCGTCTATTTATGATTAAACTGAGAGCTTTACCAATTTTCTGATTGATTTAACTGTAATTAATTCTATTAACAAAATGGTTTACTTCCATTCCCCGGAGAGTAGAAATTGGCTTATTATCAAAATGGAAACAAGCTAAAATTACTGCTCATGTAATGAGGCACACCCAAATGATAATTACACGATAATTATGTAATAATAAGAGAATTTGAAAACAAAGTTAGTTTTTATTAAAATTATAAACGATAATGTGTATGTACTTGGAATTCAATTGACTTTACTTCCACTTGTCGTCTGTCACTAATGCGATATATTTAATAGGCTATTATCTTATCTCAAGTCCTGCAACAAGGATCCCTACTCCCATATCCTCCCTACTATAAAGATTAAGTAATGAAAACACCATTATTCCACTAGAAATATATAATCCAATATTAAATCATTCTTAGACAATCGTTTTCCTAATCAATTAGAACTAGCGTTTAGCCATCAACGATGTGGAATGAATGACGGTAAATGAGTAAGTGAATTGGTGAATGGGAAAGCAGGAGGAACTTCAAATGGTAATACAATAAGCAACAGGATGCAGTACCGCCAGGCTACAAACAGATTAGGGTGATAACACTGGAGGACCAAAAGGTGTAAAAAAATTAAAAATAAATAATAATGAAATAAAAGAATGGCTTTCAATAAAAGAAAATCACTGTAGAATAGCAATAAATTATTATTTTCCATGTCACACTTAAACAGTACATTAATAAATGTCGAAAGAGAGTAGGTATACTATTTTTAAGAGTACGAAAAACATTTCAAAAATCAGCAACTCTACCTTACTTCCCTGTAATGACTTCCAAACAGGTAACTATAAACCAGAAGTATAGTAAATTTGCTAAACTTATGTGTTCTTCGAAAATAGATAATCAACATGTTACAGTATTTTGTTTTCAAGAAATTCAAAGATGCACTTTTTTTGGTAAAAACAGTAAACAAGTTATGATCTTACAATCTAAAATATTCTATTGTTCTTAGTGACGAAGATATTCGTTAATGTCCGTTTGGCTAGCCACTGGGCATGATTTTTCGTCAAAATATTTTAAATGGAAAGATCGTAACATGTTTACTACTTGTCAATTTTTAAAAAAATCTCTCAGTTTATTTGTCAGATATAGATAGTGTCCCCCTTCACTGGATAGCTTGTATAACAATCCATCGTTTAGTAATAATTACTAAAATAAATTTAAAACTAAATTGTACACAAATATTAATTACAATTCAAATGGATTGTTCACCAGTTAACAATATATTGCAGCAAAGTAATCAATCTATAGAAAGGTACAATATAAGACTTTTTAACACCTGTGCTAGATCACATTTCATATCTTGTAATCTTTAACTATATTTGTGGCTTTTATATAAATAAACAAAAATTTTAAATAACCCTAGCACAGTCAAGCATCTTTCTGCTAACATTTTTGGAGTCAATTAAAAATAACCATATTTTCGATATTTAAAAAATATGATTTTTGAATCATTAATTTTTCTTTAGATGCATCCGAATTTTGGATATTCCTAGTGGAAGTTCTCCTTATATTTCTTCATGATGTTCTTATTCCAACGGTGATAGAAAATATTAATTTTTATTTTTATCCCAACTTTTATATAAAACATTAATTTTTGCTTGCATTCCTTTTTAAAATTCTTCTGTCAATAAATTTTAAAATGAGAATAATTCGAATAACCTTATTTTATAAATAAATATATTAACTATTATTTTGTTTTATCAAAGTATTCTTTGTTGTACCTTTTCATTATCTTTAATCACAATAAGAAACTTTGCTTATTTTATTTTTCCTAAAAAATAACACAATATTCCAAATACTCAGTGTTTTTTAAAAACGATGCATTAAACATACAAAAAAATATATAAATATCGAAATTAAAATCAATTATGCTCAGCAATTTTGCATATTATTCAAGACAGTGTTTTTTAATGAACACAGTGATAAAATCAAGTATAAACACACAACAAAAAATACTGATTTAGAAATATCCTGTGTGATATAGTCCAACGAGGCCTAGAACATACCAAAAGATAGTGTCGTGAAGTGGGACTTAGTATAAACCCTACAAAAATAACACTAGTAGCCTTTTCAAAGAAAAAAAAACTTAATCTCAAAACCGTTAAATTAAACGGGATAGATATAGAATGGAAAAATGAAGTCAAATATCTAGGCCTAACCCTGGACAACAAACTTCTCTGGAACACACATCAGAAGGAAGTAGTAAATAAGACCACAGAAGCCCTAATGGTATGCAGAAACATTGCAGGTAAACGATGGGGATATAACCCAAACATACTGCGATGGATGTATACTGCAATAGTGAGACCAATCATCACTTACGGGGCTATAGCCTGGAGTAACAGAACTAGTTTAGCTACTACGAGAGCTAATATCTCAAAAGTACAAAGACCAGCCTGTGTTTGCATTACTGGTGCAATGAGAACCTGTCCTACGGCCGCAATGGAGGTGATCTTAAACCTCACCCCTCTACATCTGATGATAGAGAATGTGGCAAAAAAGACACGATATAGAATGATCAAGAACGGAGTAATCAGACGAAAGTCTACTTGCTTCAGGACTAAACATACCTGGGACATGCCCCAGAATGAAATACTAAAGAAGTACAGTGTTGTGAATAACTTCAAAACCACAGAGCTGGAATGCAAGAAAAAATGGAGCCAGTTTAACTTCGAGAGAAACTATCATAGATAAGAGATTATCATCTTGTCCGATAGTCAAGCGCCATCAAAGCGCTAAGCTCTTACGTAATCAGCTCAAAAATGGTCTGGAGATACCTAGAACAATTAAATGAGCTAGACGAGAAAAATAGAGTTACTCTCACTTGGGTCCCGGCACATAACGGGGTACAGGGTAACGAGATTGCAGATAGTCTTGCAAGGAAAGGGGCTCAAACACCCTTTGTAGGACCTGAGCCGTTTTGCGGTATCAGCAGTAACATAATATTAGAAGAGATTAAAAAGAATTGGGCAGTAGAAGAACCGATAATTGGAACAATCTCTTGGGTCTGAGACAGGCCAAGATACTTCTGAGTGAATATAACCAGAAAAGATCGGAAGCCTGCATCTGCCTGAGCAAGAACCGGCTACGTATTGTAACAGAGATTATTATCGGGCATTGCCGACTAAAAGGACACCTAAGTAAACTGAGAGTAATAGAGGATAGTGAGTGCAGATTCTGTGAGAAGGAGGACGAAACCTCCATTCACATCCTAACTGAATGTGTAGCACTCCAGAATCCAAGAGCACTATATCTAGGAGGATATCAAATATAAGAGGGAGATTTACCTAACTTGAAGCCACTTCAAATCCTACACTTCCTTGAGAAAATAGGATTGGAAGGGTCGTTATAGGCATTGAGACATTTCCTTGGTGCATTAGCGACAGAAGGGGACACAATAGATCTTTTAGGTCGCAATGTATTAACACTCCATTTCCAACATAACATAACATGGGCAATTAGAAACATCCAAACGGAAATATATTTTGATACATTAATCAAATGATTGTGATTTGCAGAACCAGACTTACAGACAGCTCCATTAAGGAAATTATAATAAAAAGTGGTACCCTGTAGCTCCGAAAGGAAGCAGAATCGGACTTATGTTTCTTGAAACACCCTGTATAACCGTTTCCATAAACTTCCCAATGAAATATCAAATTTCCCTCTGCCATGCCAACAAAAAAATTAATAATCCTTTTCCATACAACTTTTTTTCAATTGATTTTCCAGAATTTTAACCACCTAGCTTTGCTAAATTTTCAAAATTTTGACAAAATCTGCTATTCAATTTCATTACCTGATATTTTTCATATCAATATGTTTACTAGACTAATTTTGTTTACAAAAATCGAATTGCAAGCAATCATGGTGTTCTCCACGTAAGTAGAGACATTAAATCGAAAAGTGGGAGTAATTGATTTTTGCTCTGCTTCCTCTTAAATTTTAAAAGATTATTTGGAATAAGTAGGAAATATAATTGTATAGAAATTTCTTTTTCAGGCATTCCCCTCCTGTTGGACCGAGACTGAATCGCTTAATAACATTTTGAATCCACCATAGGGGAAAGCGTACCTTTCGGATTTGCTAGCATATTTTATAAACAAAAAAACACACATTTATATAAGCAACCTAAAATATCATGAGCGTAATCGACGAAAAAGCCTCCCTCACGCTAATTTCGATAGCTGAAACCGCGAAATTCTATACATCGTTATGTCTTGGAACCACAGCTTTTCTATCGGTATTTGCTTTCTTATTTTTGATACCATTCGTAGTTGATCCAGCAATCACGAGTCTGTTGGCTGACTACGAACCAGAGCCAGTAACGTGCATTGGCACCCAGCATATCTACGCCGAGGGCATATCAAATTGCTCCTGGGCCTCTTGTCGTGAAGGTTGTACCCGAGAAGCCACCCGTTGCCATCAAATCTACGTCAATTACTCGAAAATGCCATTTCACCAATATCGACCCACTATGCCACTCCATAGTATCCACTGGGATGTGCAGGATACCCGCTTTTTAATTAACACAGAAGGTTGCGGTTACCCTCCATCAGTAAACTGCTCTGAGTTCGCCCGCCAGTATGGCTACCAGACTGCAGGCACTCCATTTCCTTGTTATTATAGTAGAGTTTATCCCGAAATGCAAGTAGTTGCTAGATATTCATGGGATGATACTTTAAGACATTTGGTGCTATCTATTACAATTCCAAATATATTGTTCGCTGCGTCTATCGGAGTACTGAGCTATTGGTATTGCCCGGGATGTGGTCGATCCTGCCAGAAATATATGCACCATTTCCCGACAGAGTAAGTGCATCTTTTGTTTAATCTACATTTGTATTAGTATCTGTTATTTATGTTCTTTTATTTTAAAATTTCACTTAGAAAACTATCTTGAAGACATCATTTTGTTTTGCCGTTTAAACCGAATGTTATCAGTCAAGTTTAGTTCAATATTATAAAATTTAAGAAAGCTTTATTCAAATAATCGACCATTTTTAATTTTGTTTTGCTAGGGGTCAATTCTCAAACAATCTATATACTATTATTTTTTAATTATTTCTTTAAGATTAAATTATCTATAGGTATAAACCTGGATGTCCTAAAGTCCCTTCTGTTACAGAATGTCTTTGTCAAAGGATTACATAAATCTAATTTGTAATTTTTAATTATTATTTGTATTATTTATTTAATGGAATTACTCTCAATAAAAATAGAGAATGGAGTCAATATTGTCCAATTAAAAATTAATTCACACAAGTAAAAATATTAATTCTTTGTTAGACACAATCTTAGAGCATAGTCACTTAAAACTATTTTGGGTTGTGAGTTACATAAAATAGAAAATATTGAATACAGAACTTGTTGCAAAATTCTAAATTTGTGACTCGTGCAATAAATAATGATCAATATATTATTTTAGGTTTATTGGCCTCTTGAAAAAGCTTAAATTTTATAGTTACAAGACATTGAATTAAAACCAAACCAGTAGCTTCATGTATTGCTTCTGACATCCAGCTACTTATTTGAAATTCGTTTAACTAAAATATGGGAAAGTGTCAGAACACACGTACGTTTTAAAAAATTTGACCCAGTTTTAGACCAAAGGCAAAATCATTTCCATTAGTCATGCAATGCAAATGCACTTTTGTGTTATTATATTTTTTATCTAATCTTTAATCTCTTAAAGATTACATTTTACATTATTATGTCTTTGACAAATATGGTTTCGGTTTTTTTCATGTCTGTACGTTTTTTATCACTTGTGTTAATAGAAACTATAATAATAATAGTTTGTGCTTTGTATGTTTCTTTAACTAGTTGAAGGTACACTATTTGGTTTTATTTTAATTAATAAAAATTAGGACTAATATTAGAGAATAAAAAAGCATCATTATTTATGTACTTCTCATAAAAAGTTTTGATCTAACATTATTTCATTTAAAAATGTCCAAATACAATTTAGCATGTGAAGGGTCATTTTGGTCATTTGAAAGATTTCTTCAAATTTGACAACGTGTAGGGAGATGACCATCCAGTCCTTGAAGACGGACTACATTTTGTCAGTTACATTTATTTTTTTATTTTTTTACTAATAAATTATTTATTTCGCTACCACGCTGTTTTGTTATAAATCTTGATAATTTTTATCAGGTACATTTGTTCTTTTAAGTACCAAGTAAAATTACAGGAAAAAAATATACTTTTTAAAATTTTGCTAATATGACGTTTGTTAGTTCTACTACATGAACAAAGTAAGGTTTTAATGTTAGAATCATCCGTTTCAGTGTCAGGGTAACTATTTTGAATCTCAAAGAGTAGAAATTAACCAGAATTCATCAATGGCTACCCAGTGGTCTTGAAATCTAATTTTAGTGTACCTTGATAGATTTTAGAGTGTACCCTTAATATTATTTGTCCTAAATTTCATTCACTTCAAAGTTATGATAACCGTAAATAAAAGAAGAAAGAAAAACCCAGAAATTTATTAAAACAAAATATTGAAAGTGTAAAGACGCATCCATCTTGCATATATCAAAGTATTCAGAATCTTAGACAGTAGTTATCCACAACTCTCACCACAGTTAATAACTTCATATCTCCTTTCCTTGACGAGGTGTCTAAACAATAATTAATAAAACCTCAAATATCTTGGAAACTATGATAAATTGTCCCGTCTCATAAACACTGCTAGAATGTATCGTGTGTTGGGACGACCATAACACATTCTTTAATTAGATTTTGAACTATGTAAAGTATTTTTATTTATATCAAAACTTTTTTTGAGACAAGTATATAAACTTGTTTTTTATCGTTACACTATTACTTGTAGTAACGACATTCATCTGGGAGTCCATTCCTTTGGAAAAAATGCAAGTTTGTCTTCTATGGACTTACTGGGAGGTATATTCTTAAGAGTACCTATACATTGACTGTGATTGTGTGTAAGCAACCATAGAAAAACTGCTACAAATTACAAACAACAGCTTTTTTAGAAATTAATTTTTAATTTCTTTAATCTTATATTTTTTTACAATAAAGGACATTTAAAATACAAAATAAAATTTATTTTTAATTAAGGATAACTTTTTAGAATCGATATTATACATTACAATGTCTTTAAAAAACTTTGCACATTTTGGAAACTTTTGTTTAATGAATGTACAGGTTCTTTTAGATATGTTTTCTTCTTTCACAATTAAATATCATTACAGTATCGGCTATCGAACACCTTCCAATACGCTGTGCACAAGTGCGTGTGAAAAATACAGAAAGTTAGCCTTACAGCGAGCAGGAAACGAATAATGCTGTTAAAACACCTTAAAAGTTAACATATTACATTTTCAAATGCAAATTTTTAATTCATAATAGTTCTCCATTCAAAAAAGTTTCCCAAATGATGCGTAATATGTCATGCTGTTAAGTAACAAAAATAGTCTAAACGCATTTGTTATTTTAATGAATTAATTAGAGCATGAAGTTCCAGCAAAAGTTTCTTCATGATGATGTGAAACAGTAAACCTTGAACCATTTCTCGATGTAAGCCATTCCGGATCCCCTAGAATATGAGAATGAGATAAAATTTCAAATATCAGAAAACTGACTAGTAAACTTAAATAATGGTGAAACTTTGTTAAAGTTATACAAAATAGTTTGTACCAGTTTACAATGGAAAAAATCAAGCTTTTGTTGTAATGCAATTTTTATACGCGTCCCACGCTAGTTCCAGAACTCTTTTGACGTAACCAAAACCCGAACTTTTCTGCTTTGGAGAATGTTACTTTCAAATAAGAAAATATTTGCTTAACTACTCTCATTATTTTTTCATCTTTTCTTAATTACTAATTAAATCAAGCTGCATCCATAAAAATCTCAAATATTCATAAGTTATAAAGTTTAAAAAATTTGTGAAATATATTTTATGAATTATTGTAACCAGCCGTGGAGAAAAATCATAATTGGAGTGGACTGTGAAATTTAAATATTTTCGCTTAGTACTTTACTTACTGCCACAGAATTTTATCCTGGAAATGTTTGTTTTAAATTCGTCAAAACTTTTATTAATAAATTTGAACTTAAAAAATGGTATTTAACACAGCAAAAAGCTAAAATTATCGAATGAGTGAAAGTAAATGGCAAGTGGTAGTCAGTTCCAAATACATGGCTGATTTTCTTGAAGCGCATCCATTTTCATTAGTTTTTTTCAGTGGATTATCCAAATCGAAAGGGTTCCAAAATTAAGACTTATGATATGGGGGGTAAGACTTATGATGCTCACTGTATATTATTTTAGAGTCGCAAAGAAACATTAAATCCATGTTTTAAAATATCTTAAAACAGAGCATTATAGACAAAATTAACCTTTTGTTTATATCAACAAGAAACCAGTGTCACAACCACATTATAATATATATTTCACAAGTTTTTCAGGAAATACCTTTATAGAAAAACATATTTAAATCACTATGTTTGCTTAACGTGCTTTTATTTCGTAAACCATTCTAAAAAAAATATGGGGATATTTCTGTAATAATTGTTTTGTAAATATAGGAAATATCGCCCATGTTTTCAAGCTAATAATGAAAATCTAAATATAATATGTTATAGAGTGTCCCAAAACGAACAACTTAAAATAATTAATTAATTATAAAATGAGCTTGATTAGTAGATATTTAGGGACACCAAGTAGAACTAATATTGATTATGATCCATTATTAATTTTATAGGGAGGAAGACTTCGATGAAAACAACTAGTAGCGCCGATCATTTCTCAACACTATGAAACGACTAAATCACAGGCTTGGAATATTTTCATCAGAAAAGATTTACTCCAATACTGCAATAATGAATTTACTCAAAGCCGCACGAAACATATAAGTTCAATTGATAATACTAACGTGCTTTTTAAAACAAGTTTATTGAAACAAAAATTCTTCTCTTCTTCCAGAAACTGGACCGATATAGAACACCTTTTTCAGGCGTCCTTAAAAATAGCGCACAAAATAAGACGACACTGAATTAATAGTCCTGAAGCTGACTGCAAAGAGCGAGCAAAAAATCGATATTCCACTTGTTGCAATCAACTGAGGGACTATAACTCTATTTCATATTGTGCCTATGCTTTTCGTATGTAGGTCAGTAAGTAGCCTTTATCGATTTTGCGTTAATTTATCATCGTCAGTTTTAGAAGTACCTGTATCTTTTTGGTGATTAAATCTTAAAAGAAATTCATTTAACTTATATTGGCATTTTTAAGCTTTGAATTAATTTTAGTCAGACCTCCATTGTAATCTTTCAAACTATTGTGTTAATGGTCAGGTGCTTTAAAAGTAAAACATCATATTTATATTCAGTGTTTTTTGGTACACAAAAACGATTTTTTTTTTCTTAAAATAGTTGCTAGTGAAAAAACTATTGTGTTAAGAATTCAGAATTTATTATCAATATTAAGTTTTATTTACCTACATAGAATTTACTTTTTTATTGTTAATTTTGTAAAAAAAATTATGTAGAACAATGTTAATCGATAGAATTCTCATTGAACACTGATTCTACTATGGTTATGATATTATTAAGATAAAAATTTGATTAATTTGGTTGCCCATAAAAAAGCAAGCTCACATCGGTTGTATATAAGAGAAAAACATTTTATTTTTTTATAAAGAAATGATATATATTTAAATATTATGTCTATTGTTAATTTGCATAAATTTAGGTAACACATTTATAGAAACCGGAGAAGAATTTTTGATTTTATTTGATAATATTGTTCGATATCAGTATTGTAATATAAATAAAGTTAGTACAAAGTATTTTAAAAATTTTGACATAAGAATGTTCTTCTTAATGCACTGTATTTAATCTATATCTATTATATAAAGAGAAATTATTTGTAAATAATATTGTTACATAAAACAATTGCTCTACAATAAAATTTGCGATTTACTTTTATTGATGTTTCCTTTGTATTTGGTGTAAAAGAAGGAGAAGACATCCAATTAAAGAAAGTTCATTTTTTGTTCCACCAGTTGATCCAAAATAGCCGAGACTAATTCCCGGGGCCCGGACTCAAATGGGGACCCGGCAGCGGTATAAGGGGGGCCTGGCAACTGGATTTTTTTTGTTTTGTATGAGAAACTCGTCACAAGACGAGAGAGGGAAGGTTTTGGTTGGGGAGCGGTTCTTTTTTTAGAAAAAGCAATTGAAGCAGAAGAGGAAAAGTTTTTGTTTGAAGAGCTTTTTTTTGTCACAGGGCTCGATCTAGAGAATTGTCCTGGGGCCCGGCCTGGCTCTCGGCGTCCCTGCAAGTCCGACTAGAGGGGGTAGCCGGGACTAATTCCCGGGGCCCGGACTCAAATGGGGGCCCGGCAGCGGTATAGGGGGGACCCAGCAAATGGATTCTTTTGTTTTGAATGAGAAACTCGACACAAGACAAGAGGGGGAAGTTTTTGGTTGGGGAGCGGTTTTTTTTTTTTAGAAAAAGCAATTGAAAGCAATTGAAGCAGAGGAGGAAAAGTTCTTGCTTGGGGGGGACCTTTTTTTTGTCACGGGGCCCGATTTAGAGGATTCTCCTGGGACCCGGCCTGGTTCTTGGCGGCCCTGCGAATGATAGTAGCTTTTAAATCTAAGAAGTCTTGTACGATTTTTTATAGATGTTCGTTTAAAGAAAAACCGTATTTTCTATTTCCCATAATATATTAAACACACTATCACCAACAACGTTAACAAATTTTTTTAAACTCTGTCACTCTTTTGTAAATGAAAATACCATCTATTTATCTAAGAACTAAACAGAAATGCAAAATTAATGTGGTTATGAGACGTCGATCGGGGCATAATTCGCATTTTTAACGCGTTTCAATTAGTTTTTACACGCTTGATCAACAGTTTATCACCCTTGTGATTATTTTGCCTTTTGCTAAAATATTTTTTAGACTGATATAGGTTTATGTTTATGATTTTTTTTGTTTTCCTATAGGTATCTTTTTTGTAGAAATTTTTAATAAAATATTTTATGAAATTATGTTTCAATTTAATAAATATCTATACATAATTATTAAGGTCAATTAATAAATAAAAGCGTTTATAATAAAGAACTAAAAAAAATAATTTTAGTAGTTTTTACGTAATATGTAAGTAAGCGTCTCAGAAACGTCAAATCTACAGCAGCGTTACGAAAATTTAACCTGTGTGGTTAGAGGTTAAACGACAAGCCGATCCTGGAGACACAATAACAGAAATATCATAAAAACTTTAAAAGTCGTTTTTTTATTCAAAATTCAAAAAAACATAAAAAAATGGATAGATTTTTGATGCTTAGGTGGCTCCGCCCTTAAAAGGGAATCCAAAATTTGTTCTACATCGTCATCTAAGAAAATTGTGTCTTCATATTACATTTCGAAATAAACCAAACTAAAATAGCACAAAATTGAAAGTGATCTATTTTTCACGACGTATTCTATCCACAACATTATGATTATGAATAATGGTTTAAGGTTGGCGTTCACCCATATAAATCCACCGTATATGCGCTGTTGACTTTAAACGTAGCTTTTGGGAAAACATACTTCTTGGCATTAATTAAGTGTGCTTAGGGGTTGTAAAGACGTTTTAAGAAACGGAGTTTTTTAAAGTAGGTAGGTACTCGAAAAATAATTTTGACTTTTGGTATCTACACCAAATGTAATCATAGATGGACAGATTTATTTTATTAATTAGAAACCCCTAATATACATATAAAATATAAATTACAAAGCATAAAAAAACGTAAATACAATGGTTGAGTTATCTGTTTAAGTAACTTAACAACAAGGTATATAACAAATATTTTTCAATACCTATTTTGACTATTAGGTATACCTACATTAAATTGTTTAAATCGTTATTCATCATTGACTTCTTGAAAATTTTTGACATCAAGAAATCTATAATCTTAGGGTTAATCGTTATTTTATACCGGTGTCAACTTAGCGAACAATTTTTAGCGACTAATTTTCCGAAAATTGCCGAACTGTCAGTGACGTCGTAATTATTTCAAAATCTGTTAAAGAGAAAAACTTACAAGATCAAATAGGGCGTCAATCAACCCCAAAGGGAATTTTCCCATTATTTAATAGAACTCAAATATCTCCGCTCCTAGATATAGAAACATATTTTTTTTCTAGCATAAGTTAGGTACAAATACCACTTTAACATGTCTAAAAGAAAACGACTAGCAAGATCAAATAGTGGCTAACAGACAGAAACATTAACTTTCCAGAAAAATCAATAAAAATAGAAATTGGCTATGTCGCAACTTCCTATGTCCGTAGATATTCTAGCCCTGTAAATATTTTCCTAATTCAAATAGAAATTTTTTAAAATATAGCAGTAAAAAATCTGCTGACCCATAGAGGGCTCTATATGTAGCTGCCCTATTTCAAAATCAATAAAGTCCATCTGCGTCCACATGATTGTAGTCTCTAAAAAATTTAAATAGTTTGTCTTTCTATTATTTATTTTCGACGAATAATTAATCTACCAAACTAAAAAAAGGTTTAACTTGGGAAAATAAATAATTTTTCATTAATTTAACTTCGTTTCTGGATGTTTAATACGATTTTATACTTTGAAACAATTTAATGCAATTAATAAATTATTTTTATTTGTGTTTTTTCGATAAACATTATAATTATATTAAGTAGGTAATGCATTAATATGTGCAATGTTATGAGATTAATCAATATACAGAAGCGAAGGCAGCAAACCAAAAATTGATTTTGTGATGATGAGTTAGAAATATTTCCCATAGGATAGTAGTGCGTGCCTCTTTTGCGCGAAAAACGTATTTTAATCAACATTCCATATTTTTTGCACTAAGATCCATTTAAGATAAGTACATGAAACTTCGGAATGTAAATATCGCAATTTCTGCAATCCGATACGAGAATGTAGACGCCTGCGTGATGGACGTCTGGCACAAGCCCAGTTTATTAGTCGATTCACCCTACATCCAACAGTCTAACAAGTAACGTAAGTAATAAGAAAACCCTTAAAATGTAGCTTAGAACACCAAATAATTTTAATAAGTGCCTTTCACGAGTATATTTACACAATCCGACACAATGGGTAGAAGAAACAAATGTAAGCCTCGTATGATACCTCAGCAAGACAAGAGAATATGTGGCTGTATCTGCTTTTGCCAACTTGTTGTTGTATTTAGTTGCGTATCGCTTATTTATTTAACAGTGGCCATATACATTCCATCGTATAGAGCATTTCGTAGTGGATATGAAACTCGTCCAGTAATGTGCCAAACCATCAACATCAGTACAGAAAACAACTGTAGCTGGGCATCGTGCGGTGAGTGGTGTTTAACCAAAACATCTGGATTTTGCCCACAGATACATTCCACAACCAGACAGAATGGTACGACAGTCCAATTCCTGAATTGTACCAACTTCCACGCTTCCATTTGTCCACCAGTCAGTCCAGACCAATTAAAAAAGCACAACTGCAACAACGGCACTGAATGTGCTTCTCTCCGAGGGGTTTTTAACTGCTCATTAGGCCATTGCGCTAACATGTCACAGCTCTACGACTGTCATTACAAAGCTGATGGATTTACAGTAGATAGTGATAGAGATAATGCTAAATTGAACGGGTTTTTCGAATGCAAGGGGGCCAAATGTACGAAAATCAAGAGAGCATTTTCTTGCGACCGCATCTGCAAAGAGAATATCACTTCTGTGTCAACCAATGTGTTTATTTCTAAAGGAGACAGTGTTAATTTTGCCCATTGCGAATCTGCAATAGCTACCACCAAAGCTAATGGTCAAGAGGAAGGTGTTCAAATACCGCATACACAATTTTGGTCGAAAATGCCCAATGAAGCATTCATGGTTTCGTGCCACATGATAAAATTTGATGAAAGCATTCAAACGATACAGTAAGTATTTTTTTAGATCTTTTAGCTCTTAAAAAATTAATTTGTGGGAATTCTATAATAATAAATAAAATATTCTGTTAATTAAGATATAAAATATTAAAATTTATTTTTAAAAACATTCTTCGTTACTTTTGACCTTTTCTACCTCATTTATAATATTTCTATTAATTATTTTTCGAACATTGAGTCGAATATTATATTTTCATAGTTAAACATTTCTTGTACCTCAATGGTAGAATATATACAGTCGTTTTGAGTTTTTTTTAAAGCCATACTAAATTAATTTCGGTAAAAAAAAATTATTCTTTTATTGGATTTTGCTGCCCGATTTTATAAATGAGAGATGATCTTAGAAATATGATTCGTAATTAAAAAGGCATACCAAGGTGTCCTCGCATGGACTGAAAAAGAAGAAGCACTTTTTTATTTTCAACTTTTAGAGATAATGCTATTCTTCATACAAGTTTTGGTTTGTTTCAAAAATAATAAATTTAAACAGAAGTTGAATATCTTTTTTGCTTTATTAAAATAATGACAAACCTTTTTTTACATTTTTGTCATTGTTTGGATTATTATTAGTTTTGTAACAAGTAAAAATTTTTATTAAAAATAACACTTTTTCGAAAAGGTGAATATAAAAAAGTTAAGATTTTCTTCCACTTTTTTAGTCACTATATTTGTATAATTCTTGTACAAACATTTGGTATATTTTTTCATTTGAACATTTTCTAAAATAAACACATATTCATAATATACAGGATGATCCAATAGTATGAAAAATTCAAATATCTCCGAATATAAAAATATATATACATACAGAATGGTAGGCGGTATTTTAAAACTATTTTTAAATATACATGGTGTTTCATAACTTCAGTCTGGCACAAACTTGTTTTTTATTGTGTTTTAGTTTATATTTTAATTAGTTCCCCTTTCCCATAATAATAATAATAATATCAAAAAGTATAGGATAACACAGGGCATTTCGCACTTTTTCACCAGTTTTATATGACAATCTTTTTTATTTTAATGACCTTACTGTAGTAAAAGTTTTTCGACGTTGGTCAAAATTTTTAAATTCGCAATAAATATTTAGAGCCAAAACTCAAATGCATATTTTATTGTATTTTATTTAACCATTCAAACGTATCCTAATTATAATTTAATAGTTTTGAGAAAGATTTTTAAATGTAAATGACAAAATATATTATTCAGAAAATACTTCAATTTAATTGGTCACTGGTTAATAAAAAATAGACTGTGATTATTTGTTAATTACAGCCCCTCATCTGACTGTCGTTTTTTTTAATTACTATTTATAGTGGGGTGCAGGAGAGGGGGAAGAGCAACATGTACTATGTCTCTATGGTCGGAGCAGTCATGTGACCTGTGAAATTCAAAGTAAAGTTGCGTATCGATTGATTTTGCTGGCAATGAAATATATGCTTCTAATAAGATGACCATTGCATGTACAGGATAGTTTTCATGGTAAATAAATGTCACTGGTTCCTCAACTATAGTGTCTAGGAAAATGTGAGAGGTCTCTCGAATTCAGATAGAACATTTTGGGAAAACAAGTACTGATGTTGGTATGACAAGAACAGTACGTACGGTGCAATTGGAGGACAATAGCTGATACTCCTTCAATAAGCACTCGAACATTAGCCGCGCAGCTTCATGTGTCAAAAACGACAATTGCTAAAGTACTTAAAGAACAGTGTTGTTATACCCTTATCATCTGCAAAAAGTGCATCAACTAGGTACTTCCTGAAGATTTTCCTCGAAGAATCCAGTTCGCAAACTGGCTGTTAGATCAGCAACGAACAAACGGAAACTTCATTAGCACTATACTTTTTACTGATGAAACAGGTTTTACCAAAAATGGTATTGTAAATTTACATAACTCGCATGTATGGTCTGATGAAAACCCTCATGCCACTGTTGTTCATCATTATCAACATCAGTTCCAATCAATTAATGTTTGAGCAGGAATAATCGGCAATTTTTTGATTGGACCATAAGTATTTTCGCCACGATTGAATGGTGAACTTTATTTACAGTTCATTCAGAACGCTTTTCTGGATCCAATAGAGCATTTGCCACTCGAAACCCGCCGAAGGATGTATTTTATGCATGATGGAGCTCCACCTCACTTTAGCGCCGCTGCTCTTTTATTATTTTTTTTACGTAAACGGTTTATTTTATCGACAATCCAGAAGAGTACCTTTTCTTTAGCTTAGTGTTCAAGGTATCGAAATATATTTTTTTTAACTTCTTATCATACAGGGTGTTAAAAATGTAAGCATTAAGATGTACAACCTAGTCCGCCCCTGGTAAACTAAACAAGCTAATTATATTTTAAAGGCAGAATTTTAAGAGGTTCTTACTATTGTTTATCATATTAAATTTTCATTAAATTATATTACGTAGTTTAAAAGTTATTCAAGAAAAATTGATTTCCAGTGGCGTCTTTTTGGAGGCCGTATCTCCGCAGGGAAGGCCGCTAGGAAAAAAATTTATGGGAACTTGTCATCTTATTTTTTAATATTCTATTTTAATCCGAGAGACCTCCCACATTTTCTTGGACACCCTGTATAGACTCGATCACAGTTGTTTAAAGTAACGATGACAGGAGGTAATTGTCGTAGCCAACCCAACAGTTGTAAGGCCAGGATAAGAGGGATATCAAATAAATTGTTTGAAAAATTACTAAATTCAAAAATCCCGCGTTTTTTTCGCTCGTTGAATAAGTGGAAAGGTGGATTAGATCCATCACACTCTCACAAATAGTCGAAACAATAGCTGTAAAATCTTTGGTAAATATTGGAATTATAAATTATAAAAAAGACCGAACATTAGTGCCTAGGGCTCCTACATGCAGTACTTATACAGATTATGATAAATAATTTCGGTATATCAATATAATTAATAATTTGAACATTGTAGCGCAACAGACTGCATCAATGGAACAATATACGAATTAGGGACTTTGCCTAAACCTTTCATAACATTTAAAGAATTTTGGAACTTAACTGGTAAACACAGGAATGTAGTAGATCCAAAGAACGAATTTGTACCACTCCAATCATCTTTAACAATTTACAATGCTTCACGGTTATTTATCAACTTAGACGGATGTGTTAACACTCTTAGAGGCGAATGTTCAGATTTTCTTAATACTCATGGAAGAGATGGAAGGAATCAAACTGCGCCATCTAGGTATCCTTGTTTTTATAACAAAGTAAGTAATATGCTTTTATACACCTAGATATCTATTATCTAAAGAGTGATCCACAGAAGTAGGCCTTTATAAATATCAATTTACTGACAAATTTGTCAAACTAATTGTCACTATATTTTATTGTTATTAACGTAAAAGTACATTAAAAATGAGTGATTCTAGTGAAGAATTAATAAATAATTGAAATTCAATTAAATTACTGGGTGAATCAGAACTATGGGATCAAACGTTCAGTGTTATAATAGAAGATATTTGAGTACAAGAAGAACCCATCTTCCAAAATGTCTCCTTGAGGCGCTACGATCTTATGACGCTTTAAGTCAGTTATGTGATCGAGTGTTAAAGCATTGTTTTTATTTACATAGTGTTTGTACAAACATAAATAAAAACATTGCTTTAACACTAGATCAAACATATTTTTTCATATAACTGACTTAAAGCGTCATATGGAGACATTTTCGGACATTAGTTCTTATACTCAAATGTCTTCTATTATTGCCCTGAATAACCTCTCGAAATTTGATCCCATAGTTCTGATTCACTCTGTATAAACACCAGTGTTGCCAACGGTACGATTTAAATCGTATTTATGCGATTTTTAAACTCTGTGCGATGTACGGTCGTATCAGTGAGATCGTACGTAAAAATACGATATTTTCTTTTATAATAGGTTCATCTAAATATCTGCAACAATATAAAACAATAAAAATCAAAAACTACTTGCAAATATTCATATGCCGTTCGTAACAAAAGCTTGTAGGCAAAATTTCAATCACTTTCAAGTGACAGTGATAGTGATTGTGTTAATTTCAAGTTTCACGTATTTTCTTTAGTTTTTCATTTCGTTGTAAAAAATGTTATAAATAAATTATCATGCCAACGTTTATTGTTTTTTCGTTCCGTTTAAGTTATGTTATGATGTTCATGTATCTATTGTACGATTTTTTGTCGAAAAATTGGTTAAAATACAATTTTTTTACTCTTAAAAAAAATAGTTGGCAACACTGCTGTGAACTGGTAGATTAATATCAAGAAATATTGTGCCTGACCGGTCGAGTTATAAAAAAAAAATATTTATGTGGAAATTAAAACAAAATATTAATCATCAATACTGCTTGGCATTAAATTTGTACCAACATTTCATATAATATGTGTAGACCTGTAAATTAGTATTAAAAACATACAGAACAATTTAGCTAGTGATATATGACTGACTTATATTTTTAGAACAATTCTTTCATGGTGGTGGCCCGTTACGATTTGAATAAAACGTGGAGAGATTTACTAATAGCAATTAGTATACCATCCGTCTTATTTGTAATATCCTTCATTACGCTGTGCGCTATAATGCAGTCAGTAAGGGTAGACGATGACGCAAAAATGCGTTGCAAATACTGTTTTGGTACATACACATCGGATATGACCGAGATGATAAACAGCAAATACGAGGTTTCTTCGCCAGAATCGGATGGACCTTACAATAGAAGAAATAACAATCAAGAGGAACTAAGTTAACAAACTTCGTTCATACAATAATACTATTTTTGTAATGTTGATAACAAGCAACTACGCTTATCCGGAGTGTAAACAAAAAATTTGATTAAGGTGTGGAGTACGAGTTTATTCAGAATTAAAAAAATTATATGCCCAACAGTGCCTACTTTTAAATATCTGAAAACGTTTAAAATATTTGGAATTCTCTTTTATACAAACAGGTCAAATTTTATCAGTATTTTGTACCTATATCAGTATAGTAAAATGTTTCATACTGATTCAATACAATTCAAAGAATTCAGTAACCACTTTAATACACATAATCAAGTTTTGAATTGTTTACATGCTGTGACTTCTAGATATTTAAAAAACTGATCAACCAATACACTTATACTCTATACCAATTAAGGTATAGATAACACGATAGCATTTACATACTGAGTGATAACTCCTTTTTTTCACCTATTCAAAAGTTAAGAAAAGAAACAGGTGTTCTAAAAGTGACATAATATACATTGATTGAAGTAAATTAAAAAAGTATATATATATAATAAATATGTTTTGTAGGAAACAATAGACTTTATGAAATGTTTTAACACCATGTAGAGTATCAACCTCTGTCGAGACAATTTTAGTTAACGATTTATGTTCCGGCAGGTTGTTCCAAGCAAGTTCTAAAGATTTATGTTATGTTCTGTATAATATTTTATGTTTGCGGTGATTTTGTGAATTATTGTGACCCTAAAATATTTCTAATGAAGCCATAATCTAGCAATAACTTCAATCATTCTTTCCGGTGGAAATATTTTTAGATTTTGCGCCTTTTTAAACACGCATGCTTTTATAGGGTGATCCAAATTCAACACTTTTATAGCATATTAATCAAACAGTGTTATAACGAATTACAATAAGACTTGGACCACGTTCATTATTTTTAAAGTGAATTGGATCAAATTTGGAACTCAAGAAAAAAGTCTTTTATCTTCAAAATAACGAATATCAAGTTTGTAGGATATTTAAGTTCAGTTATTGATAAGTTTGACGTTTATCAATAACAACAAACATGATTTGTTTACCAGTTTCATAGCAACTTAATCAGAGATCAAATTTTAAGGCAAAATTTGTTTCAAAACGTATGTCGCACACGTTAGTTAAATATCAATTTATTTGTTTATTAATAGATACAACTTTTTTTATTTTTGTAAGTGATCAAAGGATATCAAAAAAGGAATAATAAAATACATTTTAAAAAATGCATTATATCGTTTTTTGATAATAGATAATGGATCATGAGTACCTAATTTGTTTTATGTCTGGCCCATTGAGTGATAGATATCTTATAAAGAGTCAAATTTTGGAGCACCAAGTGTAATGTAGAACTGCCTGCTGGAATATATCTAAAATGTTAAGAAAGCCCAAAAAAATTTAAAAAAATAAATTAAATTAAATTTGTGGGCTTCCTCGTATAAAAGAACTCAGTTTCTTGCAGTCTATTCTTGTGCATATATGCTTTTTGTAAATGATCGAATGTGTATGTATTTTCAAAAACAAAATCTACGGTGTGAACTTTTTTCTTAAATAAGATTGAAATTATTTTTCGTCCATGTTATATCTTAGGATAACTATATAGACGTTTTACCTAAATGGATATTTTTTACTTAGAAAATTCTTAATGGATCACTAAAAATATCTACAATCATTTATTTTAGAAAAAACACGAGTTGAAAATAGTGCCTTTTTATACTCTATTTTTATTGTAGTAGAACAAAATAGTTTTGCAAACACCAATGAACGCATTTTATTAAAATTTGGTAATAGCAAACAGGTTATGATCTTTCCATGTAAAATATTTGAAGTAGATATAAAATTTCTTATTTTAAATGGGTCACTCCTATTTTTGGTTCAAATTTCAATAAAATATAAAATTTTAGGGTCACTTTGTTTAATAAAGTGTAGATATGGTTAAAATAATTGGAAAATTATGAAAAATAAATATTTAAAAAAAAAATACCATTGGGCGTAGATAGTAAAATAATATTTTTACTATAAAGTTAATAATACCATTGTTTAATGATAATACTATTCCACACATGTAGATTAATAACCTAATTAACGTGGTTATAAAATTAGGAATTACTGACCTGTGTAACAATGAAAAAGATACAAACAAATAGTTCGAAAATATGAGAATTTTAAGAACAAGACTACAATGCACTCGTGTCATTTTGAAGGTATAGCTAAAAATAGAAATTAAAAAGGGTGATTAGAACTGTCAAAATCTTTACGAAGATAAAGTAGTGAGTTGGAAACAAAAACCTCGAAAAAATAGCCACTTATTTTTAATGACATTTGTAGGCGAAATTGTCTCCAAAACAAGGAAATAATTGAAATACCTATACAGACATATATAATCCAGATATTAAAAATGTAGTAATCAAAACCTTGATGAGAAAGCAGAATGGATCATGCCTTACAAAAATTATTTTAGTACCTAAGTAAATAATTAGGAACTGCTACTAAATATGTGTGAATGTAAAAATTGGATATTAACGAAAGAACAAAAGAATGCAAGCAATTGAATTGGCAGGTATATCACCAATAATCTTCTAGACGTGAGTAAATTGTAGAAGAGAAATAAAGTTGGACTTTTTTGGAATATAAAATAGCAGAAACTCAAGAAGAAAGACTTTATAAAATAAATTTAATAGAAAGATAAAAGATACAAGAACATTGGTACAAGAGGACTGCAATCCAAATGAATAATTTAAAAAATAGAAAGTATTATTTTTAATAATTTAAATATCGTCCTATTGGTGGTGAAAAGAGCTAAGCCACACACTTATTAATTGGAGAAAATGGGTAAATAAGTTTGTAACTCTTAGGTTAAAACAAGTTTTTATTCACTAAATATGATAACATTTGGAGACTGATTTAAAAATGAAAAAAGAAAGGTATGTCCCTTAAAAATACTTTACCACTGAAAAATATATATGTATTTTCACCTAGCTTCTTTCAGTTTGTGGAATTTTAAGGTTATAATTACATAATCGCTTATCTCTCTTCACCACTGTATTTTACAAAATTGTTTTATTTTAACTAAAAATGTGGCCTAACTCTTTTCACCACCAATACGACCATATGTCAAGGAGACAAATAAGAGCAAAATAATTGGTATAAACTCATTTAGGTACAAACAGTATAATCTATGTAAGAAATATCAGCCAACATTCTTATAAAGACATTACTATTTTGTAGCGTTTTATTTTCCATCTTGATTTTTTAAGTTTTTCAAGTTTGCATCTACCGTTTTTACTTGCATTACTTACGCCCGTATGCACCGTACACGTTTAATCCAGATCAAGGGTTTAATCGCGTTTAGTACCATAGCTATAAATGGTACTAAACGCGATTAAACCCTTTATCTGGATTAAACATGTACGGTGCATGCGGGCGTTAATTATCTCAAGTGTTCTAAACGCCTTGTAGTAATAATCTATAAACAAATGATTTATTAATATTGAATGTATTATATTAGAGAAGTTATTTTTGTTCATATTTATCTACATTTTTGACGACTCAAAGGCACTGACCAGTTAAAACCTGGGGACCAAAGTATACTACAAAGATGTACGATATTTTTAGTGATTCAGCTAGTTTTTTTACGACGAATACTCAGACTTTATATAGAAAATTGTAAAATAGCAAAATAGTAGACACCATTTCTATTTTTGTGAACTATGTCTCAGTCTCAGATATATCACTATTTTTGAGATACTACTAAGTATACTTAGTATAGTATCATACTATTGTAGAAAACTCTTAATACATCGCAAATTCTAAAACTACAATTCTAAATGTGATGTTAATGTTAAAACCCAAATAAATAATGTGACTTCGATGCAATGATAAATCCTTGTATGTTTACTCTAGTAAAATACAGTAGAATATACAAGTTACCTCATAAATATATTGTTAAAACAAATATGATTATGTAAATTTTCGCTACATGTCTCTTTTCTACATTTTTCCTTATAATACGAATTTGATTTTCTTATATAAAAAAAATAAGCATTGTCTATACTTTGTTCCATGTTTAATGTTAATTATTTGGGATTCTCTCCAATAATAAGTGTCCGTCCATTAATTATAATTTGTTTTGCCATTTTGCCTTTCTAACTTACTTTCAGATGCAAGTTTTTTCAGGTCTAACAAGTTTGCAAATAAAATATCATTAAAATGAATTTTTTATTTAACCGATTATTTCTAATGAATTGAAATAAATGTCTCGTTTAAATGGATTATTTATACAACAGATTTTTTGTTAATATATGCATTATGATATTTATATAAGCATAGTTGAAATCGGAAATGATGGGTAGGAATTTAATATCAGGAATGTATAAAGATTTGCCATATAATGCAACCTTCGAACTTTGATGCAATGACAGATCACAGTATTCTTCTCACATTTCATTACTGCCTATTATTTTTGATTCAACTATACTTATGCCGCGTTTGAGAATCCACATCGGATGCATTTTTTACATCTCGAGCGTTTTTTTATCCACATCGGACACATCTGTCCCATTACATTTACGTATATTGAATCACGTGATCAAAGATTTTTTACATCTCAGATGCATCCGATGTGGATTCTCAAACGCAGCATTATTTACATAAACTAAACGTTAAACAAAGTATAGACATATTGTTTGAAGCCTAAGGTCCAAAATTGTAGGCTTTTCAAGAGTCTAAGTTAATAATAATGTACTTTTGAATTGTTTAATAAAGGTATTATTTTTTTTTTTATAAAAGAGACAGATAGAATAGATAGGTAAAAAATTTTAGAAGCCTATCTATGTTCAACACAGGGACAAGTCGTTTCATAATTTTAAGTTTAAGTATTTTGGAAGTACGATTATAATTATGATATAATTATAAAAATCTCGTTATCGAAATAGTATTAAAAAATTATTTTTTATTTATTAAGAATCTTAAAGGATAATTCCCTACAGTTTCAGATATATAGTAGATATTGCTAAGAGTCTAAATATGCGCATAATAAAATATTGAATAAATTAATGTGTGTGTGCATAGCCTATATAAAGCAGCAGTTCAATGTGCCTTTTTGGGTATCTCTAAAGGTATAACTAGCCTTTTATATCAAATACGTTTATAATTAGAAAACAACATTATTATTTCTACAAGTATTTGTAAATTTGACAATTGGTCTACTTAAATACTTTGACTGAACCTACGAAACAAGTGATTTTTGAATTATAGTAATGTTTATTGTAAAAAGGTTTTATCGAAAAATATTAATACTATCCCGAAAAAAATGTCCGATATACATTAGGTAATTCAGGGTTCAGAAAAATAATTATTATATTTCCTTAAAATTTTCTGAATTTAAAAATTACAATAAGAGTAAAAATTAAACCTTTATCTAGACAAAGTACAGTTTAAAATTTCAGATTTCTAGTAATTAATTGAAGATTTGTATGAACCCTGTTATTCTTCTAGGTATAGATAAATGCCCTTAAGACTTGCTCAGATATTTTGTATATAATGATTTAGTTTTAAAATTATATTAGTAATTTTAACAAGCCAAATATGAAACTAAAATTATGAGCTCTTATGATCAAAAGTCAATGATTCTTTTTGGATCACATAACAAATTGAAATGGCCTTAAAAATATTTTTATAGGTAAGCTCAAATTTATGTGTAGTTAATTTAGATTTTCGAAAAATGTTTCTTTACTAATAAAATTTACACAAATATCATATTGTGTTAGTTTCATATTTGACTCTCATGGGTAAAATAAAAAGTTATCTCAGTTTTTTTTTTGTGTAATTAGAATATTCATATAAATATTTTTAGGATATTTTACATGTTATAACAAACAGTTTTTGTAAAATATGATGCGCACATTCACTTATTTTAGCATATTGTATAGGGTTGTCAAACGAAAACGTTTATCAGTATACGTTCGATATAATATTGTGACGCGGAGCCAACCCTGTGTAAGGGCGACCTTGGAAGTCTGCCACTCGATTCATAATCGAAGCACCGAAGACAGTCGGACCGCGTCTCGAATATACCAGAACGGGCGATGCGTGCCGTTGAATCAGAGATGGAATTTCTTTAGCAGTCGTGACCAGCCCCTTTCCGATCAGAATACCTCGTCCAACCTCTTCATCGTGGTTCCAAGGTTCCATCATGACAGGAGTTCCTTCTTCCATAGTGTCTTGAAGCCGTGCTACTATAACGGTTTTACGTCTGCCAGAGGTACCACCGTATCCTCCTGTACAGCAACTGGCACGGTACTGTCCCCATATGGATGTAGGAATACCTCTTCGGCACCAACTTTGATCACTCTGTTATTAAAGTCCAACTGGAAACATCTAAGAATATT